ATACATACATATACTAGTGATAAAAACTAATTTTTCGATTTAATCTTTTTCGTTTTTTTTTTATTATTGGAGTTTACTCCTTTAGAATCGATTTACATATATAGGCCCGGGGTATGAAAATTATGGGGACCAAAATCGTACTAGCATGTCACACGAAATGCGTTATGCGCCTGATTGCGCATGTCACACGAAATGCGTTATCGCAGGTGACGCCGGGCTGCTGCGCCGGCAGTCCGCCACAAAGCCTCGTACTGATCGCGCGTTTCTCTCATTATTGTATTTTCATATATTTGTTAGTCGTTTGTTTTGTGTCTCGTTAATTTGTTAATAATCTGTAGTGTATCGTGTTGTCGTAATATAGAACTATTTCTCGTATTGTTTCGTTTAATTTTTTATATCCAGTAAACTCCAGTCGTGCGTCGGAGCGGACACACACACTTTTTTTTTTATATTATTTCTGACATTTCCAATAGTTCACAATTTTCGTGGTCACGAACGACTAAGGTGTTGTTCGTCGACATTTGAAGATTTTTCTAACTACCGTCTGTTTTTATATAATAATTACTATATCTACTAATTGAGAAAACCAAATAAATACTATACTAGTGGTTGGAAAATTCCGAATGCGAACATAAATATCTCCTAATAACCAGGGTCCTTTAGGCTGTGAAACAATAAATTCGTTGCACAAGGATGGAACAGTCTTTATCCTAACATAGCGAATTTCGACTAAATGTATTAAGGCAGTCGACTATATTCACATTGTAGTTTTGCATCTGATAAACAATTTAAGCTAATTTTAAAACCCTGTAAACGTCTCCTTAGCCGTGGTCTTATCAAACTAATCATAAAAAGTAGCCTCTATTAAGCTTAGTCCGCTCCGTGAGATCGAGTTTTGATTCACCAGTATAAGTCTATTAATAAGTTATTTAAATTTTCTTGAACATTTACGTAAAGGCTATATTCTGTTTTGTATTAATATCCAAGAAAGCATTACCTTCTCAAGTTGTGCGCGCCAGGAATAAGCTTCCGGGAAATTTTGTTATGGCACCATCATTAAACTCCTTTAAGAAACTTGAAACTTCTAAGCTTCGAAGAACACGCATCGGCGAAAGCTGCTAACATGTTTTGTTTATTAATTAAATCATTTAATGAAGATACCAATAAAATGTATTACTCATTACGTTTCTAAATATGAACCGTAATTGAATTATATTTAATTGTAATTAATTATTACACTGTAATACGTTGCCATGACAAGCAATTCCAAAAGTTTAAATTTAGCGCAAAGACAAAATTTAATTGAGAAAATAAATTATGAAATGTAATCAAAAAAATAATTAAGTTTAATGAGCCGATTATTGTTATTTAAAATAATAAATATAAAAATAATATAAGAACAATACACAAATAGATAAGTTATTCGAATGATCCTAATCCTAATAAGTTTATTAATAAGTCTTTAATGAATTCAAAGATACTGAAAGTGTTGAGGATTATTACATGAGATTGATAAGATTTATCCAAAGAAAGTTCTAGTAAAGTCGTGTAATTACAAATACATTATAATCTAATCTAAAGTTATTGCATAAAGCTAATTTACAGCTTCTAATTAATGCCACATCAGTATCGTCGATTATTACTGGAGACAGAATTGAAAAACAGCAATTTTATGTATATTTTTAAGGCTAATAAAAATTAGTAGCAATATAACATTAATTTTAAAATTATCTATATACAAAAACACAGTGGCAAGCTCTCCACGTATCTCATCAAATTCAGTATAGAACTTTAAAACGCGCAATGGATTTCGGGTCACGATTTATTTGACCAGTATTTCACATTAGCCTTTGTGATGTGGTGTATCCGATGACTCTAAAATCCATTTAGCCTTCAAATAAATCATGGTCTTTGGTAAATTTGCATTAATTCTCATTTATATCTGTAAATCTTTGTGAAAGCTACGTCAACGTGACGTTGTAAAATTAATGAACACAAGGATAGGGTTATGGGTTATATGTACCTTCACTAATTACTTGTTATACATATTTTAGGGCTATGTTAGGATTACGTACACAAATGAATAGCAACAAAACTTTTATACCTAATTTTTCTTTTGTTGCTTAAATGGGTTGACGAGTTCACAGCACACCTGGTGTTAAATGGTTACTGGAGCCCATAGACATCTAGAACCTAAATGCGCTTCCCACCTCGAGATATAAGTTCTAAGGTCTCAGTATAGTTACAATGGTTGCCCCGCCCTTCAAACCGAAATGTATTACTGCTTCACGGTAACAATAGGCAGGGTGGTAGTACCTACTCGTGTGGACTCACGAAAGGTCCTACCACCAGTAATTACGCAAATTATAATTTTGCGGATTTGATTTTTATTACACGATGTTATTCCTTCACAGTGGAAGTCAATCGTGAACATATTTGTTAACGATATATCAATATTACGAAACATTTGATTATATCAATGTAAGGGGATAGTGATTGCAGAAGAAAGAACAAGAACCTTTTTAGTAGGTACCAATTTAAATTCGGTTGCTAAGTTAAACATAAACTCTTTTGACATTTTAGTAAAGTGCATATTTCGTAAAACCACAATGTAAAATGAGCGTTTTAACCTTTTATTTAAAAGCGAAATTCCTACACTACGGATGCTGTTTTACTACGTTACATTACGTATAATGCAAATAAAGTCTGATTGAAATCTTTGTATAGTTATCAGTGACGATGAATATATTTTATAGAAATGTCTTGATCGTTCTTGTAAAAAAAAAAGATGTGTGGTGTCGTGGGACACCGGATAGGAACGAAGTTCCTTATTATAAAAATATAAATTTTAAGTTCTATTCGAGGTGATAAAAAAAATAAAACTGGAGATTTCGCAACAACCCACGGTCATTCAGTAACGTGCGAGCTTATTGTGGTACACTTCATTCACGGTTGTTTGCATTATGTATTGCGCAAACGAACGCTCTGAGATCGTGGTCAATGAATGATAAAAAAATAGGTTATTTTTTGTACGTTATTACAAAGTCAAGTCGTACATCGTGTGCATTACTAATTTGTACGTTATTACAAAGTTAAGTCGTGCACTGTGTGCATTACTAATAAAAAATTTACGTTACGGACGTTTTTTCCCGGTTAGGGTACCCCTCCGCATCGTCTCATAAGGAACTTCGTTCCAAAAAATATTAATTTAATATTTATCTAAAACGATAGTACCATAGTAAAAAACAAATTCAACTAAAACTATTTTTTTATGATTGATGCTTTACTGGTGGTGGAGGCGGGTGACTCAAGCTGAGAGGCGGTGTTCTAATTGTGATGACTATGGACTCCATGACCACTAGAGTGGACAAAATATATTTCGTAAAGACACGAAGACGTAATTTCCTTATTCTAGTCATTTGTTTGGCGTCAGAGAGCTAAATTACATTCCTAGACGCGTCTCGAGAGTGACAGAGATGTAATTAGATTTTGTTCCCGCGAATTGCGTTTGTACAAAGGCTTGCCCCAATTCCGCTTATAAGCTCTAATCAACTGTGCTTGCTCTTTTTCAAAACGCTTGACACTGGTGGTACGATACTGGTGGTACCACCTGCCTATTTCTGCCGTGAACCAGTCTCGGTTTGAAGGGTGAGGCAGCCGTTTTACTGTAAAAATGAGACTTAGAACTCATGTCTCACGGAACTGCGGCATGTACGTTATTGATGCCCATGAGCTCCGGTAGCCGCTTAACACCGCATGGGTAGTGAAGTCATCTACCGATCTAAGCAATAAAACAGTTCAAGTAAGACAACAGTTCCGTAATGCAATGGGAACTTAAAACATAAATCCAAGAATTTGCCTCTATGACGTCGTGTTTTTTTTTATTGCTTTGATGGGTGGACGAGCTCACAGCCCACCTGGTGTTAAGCGGTTACTGGAGCCCATAGACATCTACAACGTAAATGCGCCCCCCAACCTTATTGATGACAATAGCTTTCGGTGATCACTTAATAATAGATCAGAGCCGAGATCATCTATTGATTTTAATACTAAAATAATCGCAAAAACGTTCTCGAAAACTCAAATGGACTGCTATTTGATTGATATAGAAGTACACATAATAATTTTTATTTATTAATTATCTACAGATTCATCAACAGAAATGTGACATTGTTAAACTGACGTGGTTCAAGAGAAATTGACTGGGCTTATTTTACAACAATTTAATGACCACTATAATATGAGCTCACGTCACTTGTCAAAACCATCTGTCTAGAAAATTGAGCAAGCTTATACAGAATTTCTGACTTTGACACCGTCCATTTTACAATGAACTACCTTTACTTATAACATGAATCTTTACGTAGGTTTCTGGATATTGGTTGTTATTAAGCATACGACCAGTTAAATTGAAACTTGTTTGCATAGATTTAAGCAAAGAAATCAAGACCTGTACCCGTTGGTCGTTAATCGATTCCCTTAGTAGATGTTCGTTTTAAATTTAGTGCTACGTGCGGATCCGTTCGGTTAGCGCGTACGCATGCGTCCTTATTCCGGTTTTTAAAAGGGCAACGCACTTTACTTTTTTACTTGAATTTTATTTTATTATATAATAGCAGAATAACTTATATCTGCCATTTATATTGTGCATATAAAAACGTATCATATCCGTATCACAATAATGACGGGAATTTTGTTAATAAAAAATGTTATTCCAGTGATGTATGTTAGTTCAGAATTCGCCAATTAAAAGAGCTGCTACATGAGTCGATTACAAAACCAATCGATATAATTCGAATACTCGAATAATCGAATCACCATTGCCTTTCTATTCGTCGAACATTAAGTTCGAATTTCAAATGTTCGAAGTGTCCTTCATAAACCGTCAGTCGAAATTTCGCTTTGTGTAAAATAAAATCACCTATATGTCTATGTGAGTTAAGAGCGAGTTTTGCATGAACATGTCCGTCCGTGGTTTGTTGATCTTCGTTGTGGTGCAGGGAGCGTTTCAAGAGCTGAAGCTATACGGATCGCCCTCACAGGCCGAGGTGCAATGTGTCAACACTTTCGAGGTATGTAAAATTTAAATATTTGTACAGATTTATCTCGACAATTTACTTAAGCATTGTATTGAACAAAACGTCCAAGATAATTTTTTTAATCCTCTAATCGCTATTAAGAATTCCTCTACACGTGAAATTAAATTCAAACAATATAAATAATAGTAAATCGATTTTTTGTTTGTTTTTCATTTAATATTAGGCTAAAGTAGAGACTAATCATAAATGTGATGATAATAAAATTGAAATTGGAAATTCATCTATCTAGAGCAGAGCTATCTAGAGAAGATAAAACAATATTGTGAAATTCCAAATTAACGAATTAAATTATATTTAATATAATTTTTATCGATTTTCAATATTATTATTTTTTTCTTTTCAAATATCATTCTCAACTATCTACTTAGTATATAATAATAAACAACCAATTCAAGGACCAAGTCAATGAACTTAAACCACAGATAAAGCATTTTTTTTTTTCGAATATTCAACAGGAAATAGATAAAAGCGGCGAAGGAGACGAAATCGATATTGACAACTTCTTGGTGATTACAAAGTTTTTTTTTTTTAAATAACACACTAACCGCAACATAAATACGCTTTTACTAGCAACCTGGTGAATGTTAACATCGTTCAAAATAGCAGCACAATGTAAATCACTCTTACTATATGTATATTGGGCTTTGTGTGTTATCCTTGCTCAGATATAAGCAGTGTATGACTTCTTTTCGATCAGAAATCGCCGGACATATGCCTACGCTTTGGGCTCCATAGGCTAGCCATATGGGGTTTGAACCAACCAAAACCTCCTCTTAACAATCTGCGATCAAAGTACGTATGAGCCAAAACCCAACCGAGTCGCTATTTATCTCCGACTATAAGGACTCCTGGTCGACGGGATACCCCGCTGGGTCAGAACCAGATTTCCTTTCAATACCCGGTTACTCTTTCGTAAGAAAAGTGTTAATTTGTTTAAACGTCGTGTTTTGGCTATTTCTCGCCCGGTTCCAAATCGCTATACACAGGCGATCCGGAACCAGGACCGAGGCACGCTACATTCCGGACCCAGAGGTCGGCTCGCCATCGATGATCAGGGAGCACCTCCACCTCCAAGACGTCCCCGACTAGGGACGTCGCCAACACAGATGCCGCCTACAAAGAGACGATGTGGCAAGCTCAAATGGCCTTGAACGTGATGGCACGACACTGCCGTGGCAGCAACCCTGTCCTTCTTACCGTTAGGAACAGAGGAAGTACATACAGAACCAACGGGTGCCTCCCTCATTTACGAGCAGTGGGTTGCTTGGCCAATAGGTTCGGTGTTGGGGAAAAACTAATCCAATGCGCCGCCATTAACTGCTGAACTTCTCCAAACAAGCAACCCTCAAACTACCTATTCTGTTTCCTTATCGTCCGTTTATATCAGTAACCTGTTATCTATATTAAAACTGCCACCAAATCTTATCTAAATCCGTTTAATCAAGACCTAAGATTCCTAAGCCTGATAAGCAGGTCCGCAAAATCTTCGAATGAACTTGATAAGGTCAAATAAGCAACGAACAACGTATTTGTCGTATCCTTTCTACAGCTGTCAATACTTCTTTATAAAAAAAAATGCCTATCTTTGTCCATTTTGAAAATTCCTAACCTTCATTTTAAAATTTATCGATGTTTAACTTACATATTACTGGTCGCATTGTATTCCTATATAGTCTAAATCCTGGTTACAATGTAAAACCTTTGTTTTACTAAATTTGTATTAATAGCATTCAGCAGTATAATAATGGAACCGGTGCTGGAACTAATTTTAAAAGAGGACGAAGAGGTTGAGTTGAAATCATTAAAGTTCATCATAATCGGATGAAAATATCTAAGAAATCGGTTTTCGAGGCATGATTTAAGTAGTTAAAAAGTACATTGCCTGTTTCAAACACATTTTTGGACGCGGGCGAGCTCACGGCCTACTTAGTTTTATGTGGTTACTGAACCCCATAAGCATGAGCCACTCACTACCAAGTGGATCGTACAAAAAGAAATAAAAAATTAAACGAAAAAAATACTATTTCAAAAAGTATCCATTTTTGTTATTTTAGACAAGCGGCCCGCTCTGGCTCCGCTCGGATCTTTAAGAAAAATTTTAACGATATTTGACGCTGTTTTATTTTTTAAATAAAAGAACACATATTGCGGCATAATAATCGCAGGGCACGTAATGTAAAGAATATTTTAGGTAATTTTGTTACACCTTGGGTTACATTATTGGAGTTTTATTAAGGATCCTCTTTATAATATTATTATAGATTAGTATAGATATTGTAATTAAAATTTTAGAATAGCTGTTTGTTTATTGGCAACGAGTTAATTTGTCTTGAATTGGATCTGAATTGATGTCTTGCCCCCGAATCAATATCTGTCGTCTTCAACGATTTATGTTTCAATTCGCTGAGAATGATGATGGTTTCATTTGGATTGAACTATCGAAATTATAAACAGATTTTAAGAGCGGTTGTGTCGCTCATTTATGTACTTACAGATGAATTTTGTAAATTGCAATGTTAAATCCTGCCTATTTCTGCTAAATATTGCCTATTTCTGCCGTGAAGCAGTAATGCGTTTCGGTTTGAAAGGTAGGGCAGCCGTAGTAACTATACCGAGACCTAAGAACTTATGTCTCAAGGTGGGTGGCGCATTTACGTTGTAGATGTATATGGGCTTCAGTAACCATTAAACACCATGTGGGCTGTGAGCTCGTCCACCCATATACGAGCAATTAAAAAAAAAACCATGATGGGAAGCCAACATCCGGATACCTTATTTTTCTATAATCCCATAAACAGACTTTTCGACGACCAAACCCATTTCCGTTACTTGAATCATCCCAAAAATTCGCAGTAATCGCTTCAGCGTTTTTTAGTGTTTTAGCCTTTAGGTTTTAATGCTGTATTGTTAAGAGCATAAGTACGACGCATTTGTCTTCCGTGCAAATTAATCGATGTATATCTATGTACATATTCAAATGTTAACGTTTGTATATTCCCCATAGACTCCGAAGCGGCTTGAATAATTTCAATGAAATATTCAGGAGGTCTTTACATTGGCCCGGCGGATTTGGCTGTGAAGTTTGGTAACGATCGAAGTCAAATCTAAGATCGGTCAGTAAAACGGGTCGGGCTGGATTAGTATTTAATTTAAACATAATACAACCTTTCACTAATAGCAGTTGTTATAATTATTTACAAAAGTATCAAATTTAAAAAATCCTTCTTTTCTCGACTTAGCAACTTAAGCATTTGTCTATTAAATTAGAGCCTTCAGACAATCAATTGGTGAATTAGAAATATGAATGCTCATAATGTAACCCTTATGTAGATCTATTACTTCTTCTTCTTCTTCCAGTGCCTCTTCAATCCTGAAGGTTGGCCGTTAGCTTCCTATATTCATTTTTATCAGCAGCCAGCCGGAACAGCTGTTCGACGGAGGCAATACCGGTCCACTCCCGGATATTCCGGAGCCATGACTTCTTTCTTCACCCGGCACGTCTCTTTCCGTCCACTTTGCCCATAATTACCCACTGACTTCACGGACTTCCGTCAACTACAGCAGCATGTATCTATCGTTCCTGAGTACGTGGCCGAGATATTCTATCTTGCGCTTATTGATAGAAGGTAACATTTTCCGGGACATATGAACGCGCTGAATATTACTATCAGCTTACAATCGTCTTCTGTTGGGCGTGTCCGGCATTCTCTAAATGGGCGCTAGTCAGCAGGATTTTCTACACTTTTAGCTAACTACCTGGCTAATCTCATCCGTCAATCCGGTAGGATCTTAAAGAACTTAGTGACATTAAATCGATTTCTCGATTGTGTTGCAAAGGGGATGTCTTACCGTTTAAATCAAAATGTGTGTGTGAGATTTGTTGAAGAAATCGATATAATAATGGTCACACATACCCTGCGGGTTTAAAATACATTATTTAAACAGGAAAAATAAAAATACTGATTTTAACACGTCAGCCATGCTCCACAAGTTACCCATATAAAATTATTCCGGATCGAAACTAGTACCATTGTTTTTAAATTTCTCGAATAACATTAATAAAAATTACGAAGTAAGGTTAACTTATAAAAAATCTAGTAACTTCGAAGTGAACAATGACTTTTCTAGTGTCCAAAGTTGAGCACTTAACGTCGTCAAGAGCCTCAATAAATTCGAAGTAATACACGACTTTACGATCGTGCGCTAACATTGAAACCTTCAAAATCGCTTTATTACTTACTTAACAATTGTTCACGATTGACTTCCACGGTGAAGGAATAACATCGTGTAATAAAAATCAAACTCGCAAAATTATAATTTGCGTAATTACTGGTGGTAGAACCTGTTGTGAGTCCGCGCGGGTGGGTACCACCACCCTGCCTATTTCTGCCGTGAAGCAGTAATGCGTTTCGGTTTGAAGGTTAGGGCAGCCGTTGTAACTATACTTGAGACCTTAGAACTTGTATCTCAAGGTGGGTGGCGCATTTACGTTGTGGATGTCTATGGGCTCCAGTAACCACTTAACACCAGGTGCGCTGTGAGCGGACACTCAAGAGGTCCTACAACCAGTATAACTAATATAAAACTAAACAACAAACCAATATAAACTAAAGGTACATAATACTACATTAAAAAGTATTACAATTGCGTCTACGTATTCATAGTAACGCTTAATATTTATCTGAGTTATACAGTTAGATAGTCACAAAGTTCCAAACACCTCGGAAGTCAATAGAAGTGCAGTTACCACAAACCTCAACTTGCCGAGTCTAAGTGGAGTTAGCCCACTGAAGCACTCAATGCGATTGCACTTACAAGACTGGCTAACTTAGACCCGTTTATGGCTTACATTGCTGCTTTAAAGTGGGTCTTCGCATTGGCTTTTATAGCCTTTTAAATGTAAATGATGTTTCTTTGGTTACAATTAATGTATTTAGCTATATTTAAGAATGTAGAAAAGGTTTGAAGTCGTCGTGGTCTAAAGGATAAGACGCCCGGTGCGTTCGTATGTAGCGACGCATCGGTGTTCGAATCTCGCCGGCAGGTACCAATTTTTCCAATGAAATACGTATTTAACAAATGTTCACGATTGACTTCCACGGTGAAGGAATTAGATCGTGTAATAAAAACCAAACCCGCTATTAATTACCGTAATTATTGGTCGTCTTGTGCGTCCGCACGGGTAGGTACCACCACCCTGCCGTGAAGCCGTTATGGGTTTCGCTTTGAGGGGCGGGGCAGCCGTTGTACTGTTAATACCTTACAACTCATTTCTCAAGGTGGGTGGCGGCATTAGATATCTATGGGCTCCAGTAACCACTTAACGCCAGGTGGGCCGTGAGCTCGTCTACCCATCTCAGCAATAAATAAAAAATAAATAAAGCGTCTACTTATATTCTTGTATAAATTACGATTTACTACAGGTACATTCAATTTTAAATAAAAATACAGATTGTTTAATTATTAACTATATATTATTAAAATTTAGTTATCATAATGACTTTAAAAATAACTCTGCATATTCAAAACTAAAAAGACTAACAAAAAATGTGTGTGACACGCTTTTTTATGCACGACACCGTTGTGTAAATAACATACTAAACATACAACACAAATCGGCACAAGCCAATTTATTTATCAAACGCTTTTGATTCCGAAAAGTAATTCAGAGCTATCCTGCAGCTTATGCACTAATATATGCATTGTTTTAAAGACTAGTATTACGCTATGAGAGATGACGTGCTTTAGATACGGCTGCATATTTTCTGGCTAGATTAGCTATGTCAATCGTCAGCGAGAACATGGTGGATGCTCTCGTCAATAATCACCGTTGTGGTCGAGGACGGTCGTGATATTATTACTTATATTATATGTATACAGGCCACAGCTGTTTGCTATTGTTAGCTTTAAAAATATTTATACTTATGTACCAACTCATGTTTGAAGACTACGACAGCAATATTTTTGTGGTACCAGCTGTGTAGATCAGCTGACAAACAGGTTTTTAATATATATATATAAATATTTTTTTTTTTTTTTATTATTTATTAATTATTTAAATTTCAATTGATAATTTGATCTAAATGTAATCGTTCAATGAAAAAAAAAGTCAGAAATGGAAATTTCTACAAACAGTAACCGATGTTTATTAAAATCGACAACTTTTCTTTTGACTAAATATTTTTACTAATTTAATCAAAAATATTACAAATGAATGTGAACCCACGCCCCTCCTGGAGTTCAGTGGGGACTGGAGCCCATAGACATCTACAACGTAAATGCGCCACTCACCTTGAGATATAAGTTCTAAGGTCTCAAGTGTAGTTACAACATAATATATAGTTACAAAGTATAGTCAGTATTTACGTAAATTATAATTTTTGCGGGCTTGAATTCGATTATAATAATATGATGTTATTCCTACCACGTGGAAGTTATTCGCGAACCTGAGCTAAGTACGTATTTGATAACTAAAATTAGTACCAGCGTGCGGGATTAGAACACCGGCATAGTTAGTTACTGGTGTTAGGTACTAGTCTATTACTGGTGGTAGAACCTCTTGTGAGTCCGCATGGGTAGGTGCCACCGCCTTGCCTATTTCTGCCGTGAAGCAGTAATACGTTACGGTTTGAAGGGTGGGGCAGCCGTTGTAACTGTACTTGAGACCTTAGAACTTATATCTCAAGGTGGGTGGTGTATTTACGTTGTAGACGTCTATGGCTTCCAGTAACCACTTAGCGCCAGATAGGCTGTGAGCTCGTCCACCCGTCAAAGCAATAAATAAATAAAAAAGTTGCATCGCTGGTTACGAGTACACCAGGCGCCATATCCTTTAGGCCTCGATGATTTCAATATATATTTTTTATTTAATAATGCATATAATATATAATAATTAAGGATCAAGGTACAAGGACGAATATTAAAAATATTTGTAGTGCAGGTTGGATCAAATTACAAGCCGGAATCTAGAGCAAGTGTGACTTTACAAGTGTGGCTATACACAATATGGTTTATGTTGCACGCCATCATAGTGCTAGAAGTTTGCATTGACGAAACATTTATAAAGCGAATTCAAATCTTTTCTCTGAAACAATAAATCTATGTCTTTATTTTCTAATATATTTATTATTAAGCAAAAAAACAAAAAACAAATTCATGATTATTTTTATCGATTTGAATTTAAAGTTATAATACTTAAGCCTTTTGAAAATACCTCCGAAGAAACATCAACTGCAGATATATCTTAGTATTTTATTTCCTACTTTTATACCATTATATCTGGAACCTCAAATAGTTAATCTCGTTCTTCTGCGTAAAATTTTAAAGACTATTGTTCCTCAATGCAAACTTCAAGTAAGAGTATTCCTTCTACATTTGTACATGATACACAGGTGGACCAGGAGGAAGACAGCGAGGGTTCAGGGAGATATGGAACGATACCGCCATTTCCGCCTCCACCTCCGGGCTTAGATGGTAAGGGCTATGCATTCTAATGTCCTAAATGAGTCATCTAATTGATAATACATATTTATCACTACATAGTATAAAACAAAGTCGCTTTCTCTGTCCCTATATCCTTATTTATGCGGGTTTCGGTATTCCGCACCCTATCCCGTAAAGAAATGCTTAACATAGCCCATTCGATGATTTAAGATAATAATAATTCAAATGATATTAACTACTTTTTTTCAGGTTACTCTCTCAGACTTCGTGGAGATAAAGGAGAAAGAGGACCGAGGGCAAGAATTTTAATAATTTTTTTTTCCAATTACATACATACAGATATACAGTTCGTTTTTCGTAATTTTATGAAAGCTAAACAGATGACGATATCTGTTATGTGTTATTATTTTTTCATCTATTCACTTTAAGTTCCGTAGATGTAAACTATATTATAAGGTGCTACTACGCCTTCGGCTCGGGTGGCAATTTTACACGCGGGAGGAAATGTCCTACTTTTCTCCCTAGGCACACAATGTACTATTAAAATCTAACCCTAACTACAAGAAGACTCAGAAGAAGAGTGCCTCAAGATCTACTAGATCTAATGTAGATTAATTGACATGGACATGTCAATGAACATTGTGCATACACCGCCTGAGAAATTGTTTTTCTCAAAACTACGGTTGAACGTCTTACGACAGCTTACTGTATAGAATTAATACATTTAAAAAAAAAAACGAACCCCAAACACACATAAGAAGCTGAACTCGAATTCTAAACTCTTAAAGTAAAATCACATAAGTACATACGTTAGGTCGTGCCGTCCTAATTGCTGTCCCCGCTTGACCATCAATGAACAAATCGCTTTACAAGGGAAACAACTGCGCTGCTACTCCCACCCACTTCCAGAAACTTCTTAACCGCTCTTTACAGCGACAATAATGTGTGAAAAAGTAAAAGTAAAAGTATTTCGGTACCAACATAAATCCCTGTCGCTTTAACAACATACTCGACGCTCTTTCATCAGTCTTGCGTGCACTCGACTCGACGCGAGCACTCCAAACTTTGCTGCATGAATAACGTGAAACCTTCAGTAGATTTACCGATCTGCACCTCGTTAATAGTGTAGCCACATTATTAATAATCACGGCTAAATACACTGTATACACGATTAACGGGTACTTACCACTATTTCCACATTTAATGAACTCCCTTTATTTCGGCGTAGCTACAAGCGCTATGATTATGGTTGACATGAGAACCCTCTTGTCGTGGCCGCTGGAAACTACATACCCGATCCTGTAGACCGAATGGTAAACAGTCGACGTCACCCAAATCACGTCATTACGGATCCTCCCGATCCATTAGCGGTGCTTTTAGGCACCGCAAGCACCGGTCACCGTCCTCGTCGAACACGTCGCTTGCGACGAAGGGCTCGACGATCGAATTAGCTCATAGACACAGCCTACTGAGTTTCTCGCCGGATCTTCTCAGTGTGTCGCGTTTCCGATCCGGTGGTAGATTCTGCAAAGCACTGCTCTAGCTAGGGTCAGTCTTAGCAACACTCTGGCTTGAGCCCTGTGAGCTCACCTACACACGTTAGGGTGAAGCTGAAATAGCCTCTCAAGGCTATCAGCATAAGTAGGGAAAAAAAAGATTCCGGGTCGACTGACTGAACACCGTGAATAGAATGTTAGGAGCATGTAGATATATCTACATTATTTCTGGATGATTTTTTGGTATCACCTTTAGTACTCAACGTTACGCTCCGACTTTCCCACAGGTATCGACAGTTTTTTTCGGACATTCTGAGAACGCCATGTTTGCAAACAAAAAACAATACCTCTCTCAAACTAACAACAGTGTTACGATATTATTATTATTTATTAATCTTGTATTATTATGGGACATGTACTATTAAATTTAAAAAAATGACCAATAAAACACAACTGTGGAATCCAACTAGTCATCATTATTTTAAAGGATATCGCTAAATAATTATTCTACTAGTAATCGATGTACTATAACTTAACTATAATTAATTAGGAAACATAGATCTAAACTTAATACCTTTTCCTTCAAAATCAATATTCTATCAATTTTTATGTCCTTGTGCAATAGAAGTGTACATATTTTATTTTAGATACATTGATTTGTGTATAATTTACAGAATGATAAATTGTTTCGTATTATAGGGACCCCCAGGGGAATCAATCAGGGGTCCGCCAGGTCCTCCCGGGCCGCCCGGGCCCCCCGGTCCTCCAGGGACCGCTACCGAGAGCTCTGGATCTGGTGATGATGTAAGTAGTCAGTATAATGAGTATGAGTTTTTTACTGATGGTAGAACCTCTTGTGAGTCCGCACGGGTAGGTACCACCACCCCGCCTATTTCTGCCGTGAAGCAGAAATGCGTTTCGGTTTGAAGGATGGGGCAGCCGTTGTAACTATACTGAGATCTTAGAACTTTATATCTCAAGGTGGGTGGCGCATTTACGTTGTAGGTGTCTATGGGCTCCAGTAAACACTTAACACCAGGTGGGCTGTGAGCTCGTCTACCAACCTAAGCAATAAAAAAAAAGTACAATTGTTAGTGGAAGTAATCGTGAGACCACATGGGTAGGTGGGTAGTTTTATGGTAACGGCTGTGAAGCACTCATGCGCCTCGGCTTCAAAAACACGGGCAGCCATTTTATATTATTGAGACTTCAACTTCATGTATAAGAGGTGGTAGAATTCACATTATGATGTATATGTGCTTCGGTAACCAGCTTACACCAGGTCAACAGTGAGCCAATTCATTCATGTAAGCTATAAAACAATTAAAAAAGGCTCTTGTTAAAAAAAAAAAACATTTATAGAAAATATTGCTAATATTTGTCCCAAAATTTGTTCAGTTTATTTTTTTATGTTAGTAACGCTTATTTTCATATATATGGAAATCGCACCGATGTCTTTGGGTAATGTGGGAGTGGGTACCAAGTGGAATAGCTACAAAAATAACACCACTCTAGTTTCGCTATCGCGCCATTTAATTACGTATTTAATTGAGTACAATTGAGATTTTACCGGATGATTAAATTGTTTCTAAAGACAAAAATAGTACTGCCCTAGTCTTAATATAATAAAAATCTAACATCAACATATCAAATTTATTTATTTATTTATATCATTATATATTACGTTTCTTTCAAATCTTTTTCCTTTTTGGGCTAATTAGTTTGGGTTATATTTAGATTATATTTAGTCCCATTATATTTAGATATTATTTTGGGTCTTAAAAATATTAGACAATACTCTGTACTGTGTAGATAATGAATAATGTAACGACAGCATGCAATGAAAGACATTTAAAAAATCTGCTGACGCACAAGATCTACGTCCCACTTGCTTTAGGCTACGGATTCGTGAAATAACAATAAAAAAGCCTATTTCGATAAGCATTTGTGCTTATCTTACCATTCTCAATATACCCTTCATTATTTTATACCTTCCAAAGATATCGTAACAATATTCCTTACACTAAGTTCGTGTAGTGCTTACATAGACGAACACTAACAATGTTTACGAACTACCCTGTAAAGTCTAGACGTGTCCTTCGTTTCTCTGTCGCATCATCTGCCTCCCTGAGCGAAACAGTAACATTCAGTGCTTCTTAAACTGTTTCAGCCTGATAAAAAAAGGGTGCGTGTACTTATGTACGCGCGTAAGAAGTTATACTTTATTTTTATTAAATTTATTTCCTTTTTTTTATTTAAATTTTAATCAATTTGAAAAAAAAATTGATTAAACAACATCCTCAAACATATTGGACATCCTTTTTCTTGACATCGTATAAATTCGGCAACTCTTGGTACGGTTCGGAAAGTTCACCTGCGGCTATATTCAGACTCGCCACGATCGCTACGTCGGTCGTATTGTAATGAGCGATTTAGTGGGAAACTTTATTTCTGTTAATTTTGTGTCACGGTGCGCGCGCATCCTAAAATTTCACTCTCATAAATTTTTCATAAGGCGCTTAAAGAACTTCAAAAATAAATTCTAAAAATGTTAAATAAGTTCTAGAAGCAGTCACGAATAGTTTTACCACGTAAAATCCATCATGAAGTGGTTAAGTCCAAAACATATTGGAAAACCATTTTTTGTTGAAGCTTTCCCTGTGTTTGTTCATGCAAGCTTATCCTGAAAATGGCGTAAGTGAGATTCAGCCATCTGTCAGATATCTTGGGTTGTATGATAGCTATACAGTAACACACACCCACACACACCGCCACAACAGTAATAATTTTATTTGAAAAAGCTGTTATTCAATAATTAAATTTCTATATTCGTACAATAAATTCACTTTAAATATAAAAATGTTATACCAAATTGAAATTAAAACTATTTTATTATTACCAGCAATAGTTGGTCGGACTAGAACACTACCATCCACTCCACTCAAATCCGTTTGGATATACTTCCCCAGGGTTTTAAATATATTTGTCCAAATCTAAATCTAACTTAAACTAGATTAATTTCCCAGATATTCTTTACTCCAACAAAACATAGATTGTATTCTTTGAGGTTTGAATATTTTTTGCCGTCTAAGGCGCAGTCGCATAGCATGTCCTGACGAGTTTCCTTTCCTTGTAGACTGAATCAGCAGCATAGTCAAGCTTGTACATAACAATATGCCTTCACATATTATACTGCTCAATATATTCTATTGTAAATAAATAGATTTCCATTTACATACTCTAACAATTTCATAATATGTTGTTTTCCATCACTATGTTAGTTTAGCTAAACGAAAATCTAGAGTATTATTTGCTTAAGCTTTATTATTCAACATAACGTTTTGTTTGTAAAATAACGTATTTTGTCAGTAAACATTGTGAATTTATATCATTTTGGAGTTTGAGAAACTGCTTCAATATTTGGTTTAATAGATGAGAGGAGAACGGAATCACAATTACCCAGCTTGAGCCCGCGCATTTTAGTGGTTGGCAGTCGATTTTTTAAAGAAATATGCATCTAATGTTCTTTGATCGAATTCAAAAAGGTCGTTTTCAGTTTGCAACATTATAGAAACTAGTGGCCTCCCGGTAGTCGAAATTCGACTATAATTAATTGAAATTATAAGTTTTTACACTATTATGATTCTATTGGCAAAGACTATTATTGTACTTCTATAATCATAGATTTCGCCATGACTACACTTTAGATCACTATTAATAAAGACAAACAATATTTAATCTGTTCTCAATTTCAGACCGCAGACTATAAGCAATAAGAAAAGTTTGACAATAAACAAATATTATGCATGCGTGTGTGTGTCAAATACATGATAGTGTGTGTAATGTTTTTTTTATTGATTTTATGTATTTTTATGCATAATTAAAAAAATATTAACGTTCTGCATTCCTTCTCTATATTCTCTATAAGTGTGGGAAATTTCATACTCCTCCGACCGCGCAATTTTCGTAAAAAGGGGTACAAAGCTTTTGCTTCACGTATTAATATATAGATAGAAATATTCATCAACTATCTTCCATGGATCATGCTCCAAACTGAATATCTTCGGAATACGTCTCAGTGACCTGACTTGATCTACTGCTACTTTTAAAATGAAGTAAAGAACTTGCATTTGTATTTTGTCGATCAATAGTATAATACATAAATATAATTATGTTTATTTTTTGTTTACTCCATATCAGTGCCTGAGATCGACAGCACATACTCATGGTCAAATTTTATTCTATTAACATTTTTATAGTATTATCCATCCTAAATAAATCCATCTTGGGTTGGTAAATAATTACAGATATTAGTGACAAGGTTCTGATAAAAAGCAATGCCATTTTATGATTGAAATGGCAGAGGATATTGAGATCTTAATACAAAATTAAGATCTCAACATTCTTTGCCCCTAATGACTACAGAGAAATGAAGTATTTGATTCCTCCGCTGCTCATGCGACTAGTGATGCCTATAGGATTGGCTATCACAGGGTATGAGCTTAATTGTTTTTGGCACGAATTTATTAAAGTATAAATATCAAGAAAACGCAGTCTCTTATTGTTTACGCCATTGGATATTTCCATATAGCGCTATCTCTATTCACGTCGTTGGCCACAATGAGCGCAGTTGTATGAAACAACAGCGTGAATGCCACATTGAAACTCTAAACTTTGTCTCAGGACAGCTCAAGGCGAAAGGACTATTATAATAATCTACGTTTATAAATTGTATTTCCAACAATCCTCGCGAGTCGACATAATATTGAAATGTCGTCGATTAACCCCTGAGTCGTCCGTGACCAAGAAAACTGATAAGTATTCGAAACGCCGGAAATAATATTTAGAATCATATTTCAACATAATTTTGCCGAAAGAACAAAAGAAAAAAAAAATTAAGTAGCGATGGGCTCTTAAAGAAATTAGCCAAAAAAGAATTGCTATCTTGTTGCCGCAGTATTGAGTTTTATGAGTCCAGAGATATAAATGCCTCAACTTGAAATTTGAGGTCGATATCTCAAATACATTCTAAAAGATATGTCCCGGCCCCTAATTTAAAACGCATGACTATTTCCTCTATGGCTACGCCTAATGATACTAAGAATACCTGGTTTTCACCCAGAAACTTGTGAAAAACTTAGCTTCATGTATTTATTAATTATCCAATAAAACCCGACCACTGATTAAATGATATAAAACGTGATTCACTTAAAGTACTTTATTCATACAATTCTATTTTGTGGAACGAAGTTCCTTATGGGACGATCCGGAGGGGTACCCTAACCTGGAAAAAGCGTCCGTAACGTAAGATTTTTATTAGTAATGCATACAGTGTACGACTTAACTTTGTAATAACGTACAAAAAATTACATATGACCGTAGGTTGTTGCGAAACCTCCAGTTTTATTTTCTTTATACCTCGAATAGAACTTAAAATTAATATTTTTGTAATAAGGAACTTTGTTCCTGTCCGGTGTCTCACGACATCTTTTTTATAATACTTGATCTTATGTCGCAACTGGAAAATCTGCGCTTTTAATATTCGGTTCGCATAAAATCAAAAATTGTAGGATTTTCCGGCCTATTCTTGGGCTTTCATTATTTATTTATTTATTTATTTATTATTTGTTTATTATCAACTATCGTATGAAACAAAAACGCAATTAAAACCCAAATACCTTGGCTGCTATGTCCGCGAAATTAATACTCGAACCGCAAAACGTGTGTCAGTAACGCACGTCCAAAGCACAGGAATTTCAGTTAATAGAAAACGTCAGTCCAACAAATTGGGATGGTCTGCTCGTAACAAAGTTTATTATACACTTGGCGCGATATTCGATATCGTTTCAATCGAATAGCTCTCGAAATACTTTTTGAATTCGAATTCTGGCGTAACAGAATTAAGTAATTCGATTTGACAGACCATACTATTGACGCCTTTTTTCCAATGTTTCGGGTGAAGTTAGGGCGACTTACATAATTACATTTTCTAATATTTACTGAAGTGAGTTTCTGGACGCAATTAGATTAGTTTATCGTGTGGCTGCAGATAAAATGTTAAATTTCAAGACGATCGATTCCTTTATTTACTCTCTCGTTCTCTAATAGATTGCCTTGATAAAATTTTGTCCTCATTTGAATTTCAAATTAGTCTTGTTCCATTATATTGATATATTTTCTTTTATTTACATCGGCCTCGTTTCAGAGGAGCTCCGTAAAGGTCAGTGATCTCAAGTTAGCATTTTTAAATTCAGCTTTATTGTTTATTACAAATAGTAGTAGTCATGACTTCCTTTACGCTGGGTGTAATAATTTAGGAATGAAATTCGAACTTAACATGATGTCATTTAAATCACCAATGTCTTTTACTAATGAATGTGGAACTGCGCAATGGAACATAATTAAAAGACTGTTATGTGGAGTTTTGCTCGACGCGAGACTGCGTCCGCTAGCTCTTTGAATTAGAACGCGGGCCAGCAAATCTCGATTTTGACGTGTTCTTTCTTGTTAATTTGCTAAGTTCAAAAATTTAATACCACTTTTCACTTAAGTTTAGTTTCTTCTTCTTTTGACTTCGGAAACTGCCGCCTTACCCTGTGTAATTCAATTATGAAAATTTTGTGAGGCTATTTTGTGGTTAAATATTTAATGTTTGTTTTACAGCAAATTTTCGGGGAAAACTACGCTTCACTTGGACAATGCGGTTGTAATGCTAGTACTATCATGTCTTTGCTACAAACTGCGCCTGAATTAAGGGGGCCACCTGGTCCCCCGGGGATGATCGGAGCAGATGGAAGGGCTGGTCCTCCTGGTATGCCGGTAAGCTGCCTGTTTTTTTCTGTCTTTGTCATTACACCATAATACACTGATTTGATGTTTCCCTCTGGACAAGACACAATAATGAAACGGAAAAAACTGTGGCAAAAAGAAGAAGAGATTACATGTTATATTTTTATTTATAATTGATGGGGTGTGCGCGGCACGATGATTTGAGACAACAATTCTTTGCAAAATATACAGATTTTCGACAAGTTGGAGGTGTAAATCACGTATTAGCCTTTACGGAATCCGAAATGGCTGAGTCACTTTATAAAATAGTTTTGGGGGGCCTTCAGAGACGATAACGGTTTCCTTTATTTTTTATATAATTATTTTGTTACTCTCTTTCGTTGTACAATGGAGTGGCATATTCACTAGGTGAATAATCTCCTTAAATAAAGAGACAATTTTTTGGCGTGACAACGTCTTATAATTCGATGGAGCCGGCTGCACCTCATGTGGCGTTACTTCGCTCTGAGGCGTTCCATTTAAGGCTTGAAGTGCAAGCGAGAGCGCGCAACGAGTGACAAAGAGGCATAATCGGCCTCCGCGTTCGGCAGCGTTCGACATCTGTCTCTCTCCTACTTGAGTGAGCGATGCATCCGCGTGGACAGCTGCTATACAATAATACATTTACATGTTTTCATCAAGTATGAAGTTCAGTGAAAAGTGAATGTGGTGTCAATTGTTTATAGCAACGATAATTACGATAGTTGAAAAATGAAACTATTCCATCAGTATTTTCTTATGACGTTGTCACGTTCAACTATCGTCAGTAAGCCGACTTTACAGTCAACCGATTTTTTTTAATAATTCAGATTATTTTTCTATTCAGGGTCAGCCTGGTACTCCTGGTGAGCGTGGGCCCGTAGGACCCCGCGGTGATAAAGGCGATCGTGGAGACGCCGGTACAAGAGGTCACGAAGGACAACCCGGCCCTAAAGGTGAAGCCGGTGTGGACGGACGACCTGGTACTGCTGGCCCTCCGGGGCCTCCTGGACCACCAGGAACACCAGATTACAGCAATTTCGAAGTAAGCTCACATTATGTTTATACGCTTTGTTTATACAAACATAAGTTGAACATGCAAATTTACCACTATCAATAAGTTATTGTGGGACAAGAAAAGGTATATAGAAGCAAAAATGTCTGCGTAACTATTCTAGCCAAAGTCGAATATACTATGCTTATTGGCAGATATGAAGCGTGCTGTTCGTTATCTATCACGAAATACAACTAAAAATCTAAAACTACATAACAATATTTATTCCACACATTCACAAATAAATCAATTCGCTACAAAGATTCATAATACGGCAGCAACCTTCATAGACTAGACGGGTCGAATTTATGTGAATACTATGATTTAGCTACGCATATTAATGTAGATTGTATGTGATAATTAATCTATCATTTTCATGCCATCGCCATTTAGTCCAATTGGAAACCTAGACAAATATATAAGGTAAGAAGAAGAAGAATTACACAAACATTTAAAATTACTAACACAATGCATCACTTACATGCTTTTGCAATTTGTCAGTAATAACGATTGTTAGATAATTGACTTTTCGGACCTATTGTAAGCACAGGTAGGTACAACCTACATCTATTCAGCTTTCTTGATTCAGAAGCCGCTTTTTATATTTCAATTGAGATTTCGACCAAAAGTCTTAAGGCAGTTTGGGTCCGCTAATATAGCTTTGAGATGAAGTTGAATTTGATTGGTTCTGTATTTGTCGTTAGTAACGGTTTTTAAGATTGGTTTAATTTAGCCATTCTAATCATGGGCATGAATTGCTTCGATTAAATACTTATTTGATGATGTGCAGTTTAAATATTCCTTAGCAGTCAACAGAAGCCGTTCTTACTGATAAATCACTTTAAAGTAAATAATACCGCTATTCAGTGAGGCTGAGTTTGTTCAATAACTATGCAATCAAATAAAAATTAACTTATCAATTTTGTAACTGGATAGGATAGATGGATGATGATAGATGGAGGATGGATAAGATGGGTCTCAGATGACCCTGTTTTACTTGGTTAGTGAAGAGCATAGGCGTCTCAACGTAAATGCGATCAGCTTCAAACATGAGATCGAAATCTCAATTATATATTGTGTCATGACTGTCTTCAAGCCGGAACACATGACTGCCTCTCGACAGAAACAGGGTAATGGTAATGTTAGTGGTACCTACCCATTCGGGCCAAAAATATCCACCCACTAGCTTTGCATACATATCGAATCACGGTTACGCTTTAAGATTTATATCAACGAGAAATTCAAGATGAAACAGATTATTTCGAAAGCCTCGAGACGTTGGCGACAAAAGTTTCGGGCTTGTTATCTGTATAATTCACGATATGAATTGTTTCTGTCACGACATTTCTTTGTTAAGAGTTAAATAACCACGTTCTCTCACAAATACTTTAAAAGTAACAGTGATTTAATCTTTATCAATAGCTTTTGTGATTCTAATGTTTCAATGTTTGAATGTCGATGGAAGTCGTACACGTCGATTCATAATCAAACAAGGAAATTATTATGCAAGATGTATTTGAAGTGAATTTAAAAATATTAAAATACAAAATTTACAACTGAAATATGTACCTATCTATTTGGAGTATAATTTTACATATTTTCGTTTATGGCGGTATTTTCTGTTTCTACCACAGATTATATCACCGTGTGGTAGTGAGCGCTGCTTGTGGCTGTAGGTATTGAACTAAAAAAAAATTGTGAGCATTCAATTCTGCCGTGAAGCAGTTATGACTTCTAGTTTAAAAGCTATAACGCTTATAAACGCTTTATAATACAATTGAGATATCGACTGTTGGTCTGATGGTTGAAATGCCAATTTTTTATTCTAATTAAAAGCCATCTCAGCATAGTCTCGGGTTCGTCTTTTGCGGAACGTCATAGGTGAAATGCAATGAATTAAATTAATTAAGTATATTACCATAGAGCTATAATACAGAGACTGTCACAAATACACTATCACAATATATATTTTTACAAAAACCGTGTTTACTAGACGCCTTAATATTGTTTCCTCTAGGAATCTTTAATGGGAGCATATGGAAGTGCTATCGGTAGACCTGGTGCTCCTGGGCCAAAAGGTGATTCGGGGCAACCTGGCCCAATGGGACCGCAGGGAGAAAGAGGATTCCCTGGACAAAAGGGAGAGAGAGGACAGAATGGTGCGGTAGGCGCCAAAGGGGATCGGGTAAGAATTCTTTATTTTTCAATCACTTGCAAGAGGTTTTAGAGCGAAGTAAACATTTTGTGCTTCGTAATACAGTACAGCTAATTATGATCTCAGATTTTATATCTCCAAAAAGTGTCCAATAAGCATATATGGTAGATTTTCTTTTCAAGTCAGTTAAAATGTCCACTAAGGCGTCAAATCATGTTTGACACGTTATAACCAAATTTGTGTTAATTGGGTTACGGCCACGGCACGAATAGCGCTTCCTTCTGAAAGGTAGGATTTGAACAGACCTCAAAAAAAGTAGGAGACATTCAAGCGAAGACATTAGACTGTAGTTTTTTTTTATCTGTGTGTTACCTATAATTTTTATCGGGTGAAGCCATTTTTGAATATGCCAAATTAAATTCTATCAAGATTTGTTCAGTAGTTTTATTAAATTCTATCAAGATCTGTTCAGTAGTTTTATTAAATTCTATCAAGGTCTGTTCAGTAGTTTTTGATTTGTCCGTGATAAGTATTTAATTGACTTTGACTATAATATTGATGATGTTCTCATTTAATTTTTATTTTGTTAGTCACTTTTCTTTTATCTTATACTTTGTATTATTGTATTTGTATTTCTTACTATCGTTACAAGTTTTTGATCTTAAACTTAAGGAGGATCGGTAAATATACACAATTGTCTATTGATTTCTGTAATCTCCTCAATAATAGAAATTCTTTTGCTACACTATAACAAAATTTGTGGTTTTTTGTTCAACAACTCTTAATATATCATCATTACCTCAAATTCGTAAACTAGGGTCATCCGGGACCTCAAGGCGATCGTGGTGTTAAAGGTGATCGTGGAAACCCAGGATTCGACGGAAGACCAGGCATTCCTGGTGCCAACGGACGTCCAGCAGATAAAGGCGAAAAGGGTACTAGTCAAAAGAACATATTTAACCTTATTATTTAATTTTTTAAATTTATGTTAACCGGAAATTAAAGTAGTAAAACTGTTTTAATAGTGCTTCCTATTCGTGAATACTCTGAGAAAGATATGTAATTGTAAACCTAGGTATTATTTATTATTATTTAATATTAAATAATTTACCACTGAACAAACAGAGCTTTTTATATTACTCAAGTTATCACACGTCCCGGTGTGTAGGGCGGGAAATTCTGTTCTAATGCTAATGAGACTGCTCTTATTAAGACATATCGCCATTCGCCGTGTCGTGTCGCTTAATGGAGTTTGATGATCGCTGGTATTGGACTGTTCGTGATATGCATCAACCGATCTATGATAAAAGATGACTGGCTAAAATTGAACGTAATAATGGACTTCGTAATTAGTGCTATCAACATTAATTTCTTCATCGTCGTGACATACGTTATGGGCTGGTAGTCGGTTTACTCTGGCCATTTCTAGCGTCAAGAAATCATGCACTGAAACCAAAAGCTTCAACCTTTAAAAACTCAAATAGGATAAGGAGCTTGCTTATAGCAACGGGGTCTGAAAGCTCATCGTTTACATTCGTAAAAACCTCCTTCTGTTTTACAGGTGAACGTGGGGAGCCAGGACCTCCAGGGTCACCACCAGCTGGAGTTTTTAATGCTGCAGATCCAGAATTTATGGTTGCAGGTTTGTAGTTGTTGATTTACATATTGTCATCATTATCCTCACAGGAGTTGAGAACAATAAAATCCCATACGTGTTCTGGCTTTATGGGTATGAAAGCCATACATTTAGCAGTTGTTTATTCGAAGGTCAGTTGAAGTATTAGCTTGCGCATCGGTCATGTTACCCTAAAAACCAGAACTAGCGATTGCTTTTTGACAAAAATAAGCAACTGGTATTCACTGAATATGGTAATATTCACTGGTGTTAGAACCTCTTGGGAGTTCGCACGGGTAGGTACCACCACCCCACCTATTTTCGCCGTGAAGCAGTAATGCGTTTCGGTTCAAAGGGTGGGGTAGCCGTTGTAACTATACTGAGACCTTAGAACTTATATCTCGAGATGGGTGGCGCATTTACGTTGTAGATGTCTATGGACTCTAGTAACCACTTAACACCAGGTGGGCTGTGAGTTCGTCCATCCATCTAAGCAATAAAAATAAAATAAAAAAAGATGGTGGTACCGACCCGAGTTAGCTCACAATACGCCTCACTACTGGGTAATTTCAGTTTGTGCTGGCTGTTTTCCGGTGATATTGTTTAGAAAACTCTTATGAGATTCTCTTTGACCACACCTATCGAAAAAACCAGATTTTAGGATAAAACCACACGGCCAGTTTATGCAAATATTTTAATTTGTCTTCTTAGGGTCGCAAGTGACAGGTGCTAAGGGTGACAAGGGAGAAAAGGTAAGTAGCAAAATAAGAGTTTATTATTTTGTATGACGGTAGATGCATAGTCATACCGTCTGCTATTTAATAGCTTCCGGATCCCATAGAGTCCAGGATACAAAGGTCGTTTCCCATATTAAGACTGGTCAAAATCCCGTTTGTAATGCACTAGTGACTGTCGTACTCTTCAAACTCCCAGCGCAGTAATAACTTGAAGTGTTGAAATCTTCTGGTACCTACTAATTACACCTGGACGAATAAGTAAAAGTAACTGTTCCACCGACCACTAACTATATAAATATGTTAAAAGCAGGCTGCTAATCTTGATTACCCTTGAGCACAATTGCTACACTCGCGAACATACTTTGGCCATTTAAACTACTTTTGCGGCATAGCCTCGCTTATTTTTAAGTTGTCGGCATATTGTTTCCGACGTTTCAAACACTTTACAGTTTTCGCGATCACGGATGGATTAAGCCTAAAAAAATTTTTTTATTATTTTATGTCCACGTCTCACGAAATCGAACAAAATACTATGACACACTTTCAGTTGAGTTTCAGAAGTTCTTCCTAATCGAGTGGAACTTGCCTTATCCTGTGCGCTGTCGTTTGAAAGAATCAGGCGTGCATGAACCCATTAACATAATGAAACGTTAGCTGCCATCGATATTTTTAGGGTGAAAAAGGAACTCGAGGTAATGATGGCCCACCAGGGTTCCCAGGGAAGGACGGGAAGCAAGGGGAACGAGGTGACATTGGACCTTCAGGTCTACCAGGCATGGCCGGATCCCCTGGACCACAGGGCTTTAAGGGAGACCGAGGAGAAAGAGGCCCTCCAGGACCTATCAGTGTTGCTTCAGCAGGGACCGATATCATAACTATTAAGGTACATTACTGTAGTTTATATGCTATACACCAAGTTTGAAACAGTTACTAGATTTTTTTTTAAAGCTACGTAGTTCAGAAACTACACTATGAAAGCTACCATCAACCGTAAGTTGAAAGTCCATGATCAATCAACAATAACAACGTCAAATATCGTTGAAATTTTTGTTAAAGACCCGAGCGGAGCTGGAGCGGGCCGCTAGTGAATAATAAAGTTGCTAATTCTAAGTTAGAGTTTAAATTTCTTTTTTGTGTTTCCGTGAAGGGTGATAAAGGAGAACCAGGTGCCCGCGGGCGTAGGGGCCGCAGCGGGCCAGGGGGCGCGCGGGGGGCCACGGGCGCCCCCGGACCGCCCGGGCCCGCCGGCCGCCCCGGGGACAAGGGGGACACTGGACTACCCGGCTGGATGGTCAGTGATTTTAAAACTATAAAAACTAGCTTTGTTTATAGCAGATAAATATACTATTTAGGACAAAACCAATGATTTTTTCTTTTTTTTATTGCTTAGATGGATGGACGAGCTCACAGCCCACCTGGTGTTAAGTGGTTACTAGAGCCCATAGACATCTACAACGTAAATGCGCCACCCAACTCGAGATATAAGTTCGAAGGTCTCAGTATAGTTACAACGGCTACCCCACCCTTCGAACCGAAACGCATTACTGATTCACAGCGGAAATAGGCGGGGTGGTGGTACCTACCCGTGCGGACTCCCAAGAGGACCTACCACCAGTAGTGATGAGCTTAAATTACATGGTCTTTCGTTTCATTTTGATTTCCCCGCCGTCATAGACAATTGTCTTGTTATGGTTACGTAACATGACAACAAAAAATAGAAGATGGCTGATGTTGAATTCAAATGAAACTCATAATTTTTAGTGCAGTTACGGAAAGCATTAGACACTTGTAACCCTTTTTATATAAATAAATGATTTTGGAGGAAAAGGAAGAGGTAGACCTAAGAAGAAGTGGATGGATTGCGTGAAAGACGATATATGTATGAGCGAAGAAATGGTATATGATAGAGGAGTATGGAAGGAGAAAACATGTTGCGCTGACCTCAGGCGACTGGGAGACGGACAGGAGAATGATGATGAAATGTTTTTTGTGCATTACAATGAAGATCTCAGACAACTCAACGCATTACGATAAATTAAAGTAACGATATATGCAACAACAGTTTAATAGGTCATTATCTAGGCTGTGCGGTAGAAAATGTTATAGGAATTTGCCGGAGATACTGTCCAGTTAGTGCTGTTCTCTATATACCAGCATACTGAAATCGCTACCTGTCTAGTGGTGGGTTTTATTGTAAGTCCGAATATATACCATTGTTTTGCCCTTTCGTATCGCGAAGCACTCATGCATACAATACAATTTAAGCTTGGACCTCATCTCTCAAGTACCGGTGACGGCATTCACGTTTTAGTGACTATGGGTAACCACTTAACAACAGATGGGGCTAGTCCATTCATCTACCCAATAAAAACAAAAAGATTAAAGCAATTCAATTTTCTTATTCAATTAATAAGGCTTTTTTTTGATGAGTCAAAATGAAACCCACCCACTCCGTGTCTTGTAATCTAATAAATAACATACCATACTAACAAATAAAGCCTTTGAATGAACGTTGCTAAATTTTAACAAAAAATTATCTAATTTATATCATTGCGTGCTTCGCAAAAAAAACTTTTTGTAATTGAAATACCTGAAAAGGTCAATAATATTAATATTATAAAAATGATAACACCCCGAAGTTTTTCGAAGTGTAACTTTTAAAACGAATTTCCCTTTTTAATATACCAAGTACTCATGAAGGTCACCGAAGATTATATCACTAACTATGTCAATGACCTTCTAATTTACGGGCTTCAAGATTAATAATAATTTCGCAAAAAGACGATTAGAAATTCTGATTTGAAAAAAAAACGTAATATAGATAAATAAACAATAATATACTACAAAAGCAATATGTGTTTCATTTCTTGGTATTTCTGTAACGGCATCCGAATTCAGTCTTTGTACGGTTATTGTGAGACATCACAACATTTAGGATCATCGGGCTAGAGTTTGAGAATAGTAATACACACCAGCTCAAGTCTGTGTTATATAGATCACAAGTCTTCGTCCAGACATATTCTTCTCCCTTTGAAAACAGCAATTAGTAGAATAGTTTAAAATAAGTAGAAAATGGATACATACTTAGTCGTCATTGCCTAAAAGATAAGACATGCATTCGTATCTAGCGATGCACCGGTGTTCGAATACGGCAGGCGGGTACCAATTTTTCTAATGAAATACGCACTTAACAAATGTTCACGATCGACTTCCACGGTGAAGGAATGACATCGTGTAATAAAAACCAAACCCGCAAAATTATAATTTGCGTAATTACTGGTGGTAGGACCTCTTAAGTCCGCACGGGTAGGTACCACCGCCCTGCCTATTTCTGCCGTGAAGCAGTAATGCGTTTCGGTTTGAAGGGTGGGGCAGCCGTTGTGACTATACTGAGACCTTAGAACTTATATCTCAAGGTGGGTGGCGCATTTACGTTGTAGATGTCTATGAGCTCCAGTACTTAACACCAGGTGGGCTGTGAGCTCGTCCATCCATCTAAGCAATAAAAAAAAACCACTTAGATGTTAGATCTCGAAGACCGCTAGACAAACAAAGATACATACGACATAAAATGCTATACATTTAATTATCACCACTGACCCTCCATCTTTACGAGCTCTGTCAATATTTATGTCCAATAAGTTTTCAAGCATGGCAACGCACAGAATAGTGAACGCATTTCACTAGTACATTAGAATTTCATTATAGTATTTTTACTATAATATCATGAATAAGATAAATGAATAATATACTAATCAATAGAATAATTACGTTTTCAATAATAATATTATAAAAAAATGTTTCTTGACAATAATTTATTGATAATAATATATGATATTTGTTTTACATTCGGCTGACTGATCAGAATTCCAAGGTACATCATTTCTTATTAAGCTTCTATAAGTTATTTTTTTTATTAAGCTTCTACATATAACTTTAAGCGCACGACTATGTCAACGAATTTTGATGTCCAGTCAATTATGATATTTTCAATACGACCTTAAGTATATGGAGAGCTTTTGTATGTTTAATACCGTGTAATGTGACCCGTGGCGACAGAAGAGCTTACGGTTTACTTGATGTTAAAGCTGCTACCCGAAATACCAACAAAAGCATCAACATTTCATGTTTCAATCGCCGAAACATAAGCTCGAAGTTGCAATATATTTTTATTGGATGGGTGGATGAGCTCACGGCCTGCCTGGTGTTAAGTGGATACTGGATAAACGTGAATAAGGTAAATGCCGCCACCTAACTTGAGACATGAGTTCCTAAGTCTTAGTTTTACAGTACAGCGGTTGCTTCACCTTTCAAACCGAAACGCATTACTGCTTCACGGCAGAAATAGGCAGGGCGGTGACAACTACACGTGCCGACTCATGCCCTAACACCAGCAGATTTCTTCAGATTCAATAATTACTAAAGGAAGTTCCTCCTGGATGCTCTATGACAGAAATCGTCGTGATTATTAAATTGCTTGCCCATCAGTCAATAGTTAATATTTTGACAGGGCCGTCCGGGAACCCTGGGCCCGCCAGGAGCACCAGGACCAGTTGGACCGAAAGGCGAAAAGGGCGACCCGGGAGTCAACATTTTGGACGTCTCAATGGTAAGCTTTGCCAAATAAACCAACTTAAGCCTTTTTTATTCCGCTTTGTAGGTAGACTAGCAAACCGCCCACCGTACAAGCCAACCTGATGGTCAGTGATTACCGTCGCTAATGGACATCAGCAATGCCAAAAGCTCAACCAAGACGCTGCCTCCCGCTGACTCTCCGCAAACCTCAATTGAAAACGACATACCATAGCGCTCGGAAACACCTTGGTCAAGTACTCTTTATCCTGAAACTATTTACTTGAGAACCTTTTTTTCGTCATGTCGATTAACCTCTCCCCAGTTGTATATCTTTCATTATTCCCGCGCGCCTCATTGAATGTCAACTGTCATCTATATATTAATACGTGAAGCAAAAACTTTGTATCCCTTTTTACGAAAATTGCGCGTACGGAGGAGTATTTAATTTTCCACACCTATAGAGAATATAGAGAAGAAGTGCACAATGCTAATATTTTTTTAAAAATAATGCATAAAAGATACATTAAATCAATAAAGAAAACATTACACACACTACATACCATGTATTTGACGCACACACGCATGCATACTATTTATTGTCAAACTGTTGTTGACGTCTGTTGTCAAATTGAGAATAGAATATGGTTTGTCTTTGTTAATATTTTTTATAGCGTAGTCTTGACGAAATTTGTGATTATAGAAGTATAAAATACAATTCATAATAGTGTACAAACTTACAATTCCAATTAATTGTAGTCGAATTTCGACTACTGCGGGACCTCTAGTATATAAAAATATGTATAACTGCGAAATCCTCTGAACGGACTTTACACTGATAACGTTTTTTACGGTATAGGTTTAGAAAAACGTGATTTTCTCTAAATCACAACGGAATTATTCAAAATTCCATTTAGATATATATTCCTATTAGACTTCGTTGTGAAATTTCATACACTACACTTGACTTTGAATTGCATTGCAATTGTTCTATGAGAGATAAAATAGGTTACCTAAAACTTGTCTTTTATTATACATTTAATAAAGAATAAAGACCTTGCTGGGTGTAAAGTTATATATTTTTTGTACAATATTAAATATTTGATAAAACTAGAGGTCCCGGAGTAGTCGAAATTCGACTATACCTAATTAATTGGAATTGTAGGTTTGTACACTATTACGATTGTATTTTATACTTCTATAATCAAAAATTTCGCCAAGACTACACTATAAAAAATATTAACAAAGACAAACAATATTTAATCTATTCTCAATTTAATAACAGACGGCAAGAACAAAAGTTTGACAATAAATAGTATGCATGCGTCTGTGCGTCAAATACATGGTATGCAGTGTGTATAATGTTTTCCTTGTTTATTTAATGTAACTTTCATGCATTATTTTAAAAAAATATTAGCATTTTGCACTTCTTGTCTATATTCTCTATAAGTGTGTAAAATTTCATACTCTCTCTGTCCGCGCTATTTTCGTAAAAAGGGATACAAAGTTTTTGCTTCACGTATTAATATATAGATAAAAACCAAACGAACAGTATCTACAGTTTTCTGTTTGACATACCCTTTATGAGACACCCTGTATTCAGGTACATTAAGTAAGTTGCACATAATTCTATGATACAATATATATATATAAGACTGCTTGGCATGTTATGTATGCTTTTTTATATTTATATAATTTCATTTTTCTAAGCAATGCTCCTACCATAGCGCTCTCTACATAACCCTTTGTTGACTGGTGAAGAATATCTTTGGCATTAATTTCGCCACTGTACTCTTTCCGCATAAAATTAAATAAAGAAACGGCCTGTACACTTTTCGCGTCGTAAAATCAAATATACACACAAAAAAGGCGTTATTAACGGAACGCTTTTTACGACAAAGGGCGGTTAGCAAAAAAAGTACAGCCCACCCTACCGTACCTAACACAAAAACAGAGAAATTATTTCGTTTTTTTGCATTAATACTCGTGCACCTATATCGATAATGGATTGGCACTATCACTGTATTAAAATAAATTATATTCAAGTAATTTTGTTATCAGAATGCTTGAACACGTTAATATATAGATAGTATTTGTGTACTTATCGTAGCTCATATAGTAATATGTATTGTGATGTGGAATTTTGTTTGTTTAGATATTACTTACTCAATCTTGTAATAATGATCGAACAAAGATAATTTATGACCAGGACTAATACATGATCCGGGCAACGGCAATTATATATCTGTTATAGTAAATATGTAGGACGCTTACGACAAAGAGAAGATCTTCCACCGAGCGGGTGATATTGCTCGGTAGACCGACGCTCCGAATGTTGTTGTCCGGAACTTGTTTATATGGAAGTTTTTTTTTTATTATTGCCCTTGTAGGCAGACGAGCATACGGCCCACCTGATGGTGAGTGGTTACCGTCGCCCATGGACTTCAGCAGTGCCAGGGGCAGAGCCAAGCCGCTGCCTAAGCTTATCTTGACAATGCCGTAGGCGAGGTTCAGGCATCTGTCAAATATCTTGTGTTGTACATATGATGGCAACCCGCCACAAATATGGCAGTCATATTATTGGATCTCCAAATCCAGCTTAATTGACACAAGAAATATTTTGACCCCCTGAAAATGTAACATGTAACGTGTTTCTGAATTGCAAATTTAAAACGAGTGAAACCGCGTGGCGCCTCAAGTTATCAGTAACACTGAGTACGTCAGAATTATTTATAGCTTATTTTTAATATCCTGACCTTACGGATAAGACGCCCAGTGAATTCATATAGATTGAATTCACTGTACTGTAATTCAAATTCTCACGAAACATCTTTCGTGTTCCCATACCAACGTTTCCAAATAATCATCATCAGCCTGTGTCTCTCCACTGCTGGATGTAGGCCTCTCCCATAGTCCGCCACAATGAACGATCCTCCGCCTTCCGCATCCAATCTCTCCCAGCATATCGCCGCAAGTCATCGGTCCAACGGGCAGGGGGACGCCCAACGCTGCGTTTACCGGTACGCGGTCTCCAGTCCAGAACACGTCTGCTCCATCGGCCATCGGTTCTGCGACACGTATGTCCGGCCCATTGCCACTTCAGCTAAATAAACCAACGTCTAAAACACATTCTTGACAAACAACTTCAAGTAGTGTTGCCCTACCACCTGTGCCAGTAGCACGGGTGACTCCATTTGAGCCCAAAACCATTATACTTCTGTTTCAAGATGGGTGGAGGCATTCACGATCTCTCAACTCCGATTACCAGGTCAATACTAGCAGGTCCATGAGCATGTTAGTCTATCCATCGTTTTAAAGATAAAACGATGTATAATTAAACAAGCGTATGATGAATAAAGATTTTAATTTCTCTTGTTATTATTACAACATAATCTTATTTTTTTATTTTTAGAGGTCATTAATTTACAATTTTACATTACATTGCCGGTTGAGACTCGGCCGTTCGCGTTACTAAATATTACAATATAACAAAAGTATAAAGAACCATTGTATAAAATTCAAACAAAAAATACTAATAATATTATAATATACAAGATCATCTGAATCTAAACCAGAGTCTACGTTAAAGACAGTCTTAATACCCAGGTTCTTACGCCATTTTTTTATTTAAAGAAGTCTGATGCTTTGCTGCTCTAGCATATTTGAAAGTAGTAAGAACCCTTTAGATAATATTGTTCATAATATAGTCAATAATTATAGTTTGTAGCAATTCAGAATCAACGTAATCTTTGTTAATCTAATCATCCCAAAAAAAAAAACAGATTCTAATAAAAGTAAGTGAATTTACGCACGATTAACGAGAAGCTTCGACTAGATTCTGCGTTCTCTTCTCCGTAGCTTGAGAGGTAGACCATGGACGAAGCCTTCAGAAACGGTTGTGGTAGGGTCAGGTATTGGGTCTCGTAGGCTGATCTCAACGGGCTCTACCGTATATTTCTGTAATACAGCAACTAAGCCCGCCATCGACAGCATTTGACCCAGTCTTTCACCTGTAAAAAAAAATTGTGTTCACTAAATAAGTTCGACTATGTCGTGTCCAAAACAATAGCATCGCCCCATCTCTTGCCGTGGCTGTCGTAAAACGCACTAAAGGTCGCCTTCAAGGTGACATTGAATCCGGTAACCATTCACAAAAAGTCTTACTTTTTTTTCTAGTGTAAAACTCGAAATTATTATTATGCGACTGACTTCCAAAATATTTATGTCTGATATTTAGAAACTGGTTTAATTAGATGAACATAATATGCATGTTGTCTTGTGTTCCATTATTTAGCGCTTGTAATTATCATGCAATACTAATTTTAATATTTTTCCGGTATTGAACAATTAAATGTAAAAATAAAAATAGCCAATTCAGCAAACTTTGTTTCTCTACAACCTAGAAAAATGATTTTGTCTATATTGTTTAAAACCAATTATATTACACATAAATGGATAATGCAATACAAAAAAATAACAAAACAGACAACTGACTTTAAAAGGATTAAATGAGTATATCGTCAATATAGTCGAAGTGTATTTAATATGCATTATTAAGGATAGCTCACGAGGACTGGACTGGAAACTAGACTAAGCACTTCATTATGACCGACATAAGTGGCTACAAATCACAAGAAAAGATCTCAGCGGGCGCATTACGACGCAATGAGTGATCGATTGGAGGAAGAGGAGATTAAGCATAGCTCAAAAGCCACTAGCCCGACCTTGATAACATTTAAATGAGACGACAGGAGAACCTACCAGCTTTAAAAAAATAAAGAATCAACAAATTCGGTTCACCTAGAAAACACAGATAATAAATTATCATTCTTTCTTATACTATTTTTAATTGAAATTTATTAAAATTTATTCTCAATTTTTTAGTTGGATTTTCTATAAAAGCGTATTTTGTTAGTTTTTTTAAGCTATTATTTAGTTTTCATTTTTTAGTTGAAATTAATTTTTTTTTTTTTTTTTTATTGGATTGTTATCGTTCCTTAATAAGTATACCAATTTTCGAGTTATTCCGACGTTTTGAAGGGGGTCAAAATTATGTTCAAAGATTCCGTTACAAACGTCTGAAGCTAATAAAAACGTATTAAAAAGCGATCCAATTGAGAACCCCTTTTTTAAAGTTGATTTGAAAAATTTTGTGCAGTGACAAAAAAATACGAAGGTTAACATAACATAATTTGATTGTCCGAATTCGGTTTTAAGAACATCGAACTGGAGAATATTATTTTGAAAAGAAAACCGTAATCAATTTGTTAAATAGGTACTTTAACAACAACTTTTCTAAGCAGCGTGCCTTTCAATAATCCACACGTGTACTCTTTTTACATGTGAATTTCAATAGATCCAGTGGAACAACAGAATCTGATATTATTTGCCTAAAGAGCTATTCCAACTACGAGCGGACGATTAGGCGAGCTCACGGGCTCAACCTGAGAGAATTTGCTAATACTGGCCCTAGCAAGAGCAGTGCTTTACAGAATCTACCACCGGATCAGAATTGCGACCCACTGAGAAAATCCGGTGAGAAACTGAGTGGGTTGTTTGTGTGGCAAACTGACATTAGAAGTCAATGTTAGTAGAGGAATTTTTGTAACGGTTCTTATAACAACTTAATACAAGATAGGGATTGCCATCAGTCTATTAACTGCTGCTATAAAAAAATCCGATTGCCAATTAATATACGCTTGGACTAACTACAAAACCAATTATCAAAATTAAGCGCTTACTTACCAACACATGCCCGTGGCCCCTCACCAAAAGGCAAAAATGTGTACGGTTTCAAATTTGCTTTCGCGCCAGAGCTAAACCTTTCAGGATGAAACCTCTCAGGATCCTTGAAGTACTTTTCATCTTTGTGTATAGCTTGAATCGGAATCATTAATTTTACGTCTTCGTTGATAGTCAAATTGATTTCCGGAAACGTATATTCAGGTACCGTGCACATCCTCACCAAATATCCAACTGATGGATACAGTCTCATTGCCTCGTTAAATGCCATTTCTAAATATGTCATCTCTTTGATAGCATCATAAGTAATTTTGTTGTTGTGTTTGCTCAAAACTTCATCGATTTCCTTTTGTGTTTTCTCTTGGCACTCTGGATTGAAGGCCAATTGATGCAATGTGTAGCTCGAGGCGGTCGAGGATGTCTCGAAACCAGCTCCGAAGAAAACGAAGACCTGTGCCGTCATCAGCAAGTCATCGAATTCTAGTTCAACTTGTTTTGGTGTTCCGTTTGCGTTCTTGGCTTCTATTGACTCCCCGAGTAATTTTCCCTTCTGTTTGAGCTCAAGCATCAGATCTATGAAATCATTTCTTCCGGAGGGCTTGTAATTCTTTTCGCGTATCACATTTTGTACTAAATACGTCATAGATTTTTCTAATTCTGGCGTCAGAAACGTTAAATGCTTACACAATTCCGGAAATATTAATTTAAGGGCAGCACGCACTGCATCGCTGAGATCTCTTTCGAATATCCTCTTACCAAGTTTTCGGAATTGGGAGTTCTCATCACTCAAAGAGTCAATATTTAAGCCGAAGCCACATGCACCTATAAAATCGGTCGTGTACCTGGCCATCAGTTCCCTGACGTCGCAAAAATTTCCATCGGCCTCGTTTTCCGCAATAATTTGTAATTTTTCTGCACGTTCGGTTATTATGTGAAACATTGCCTTTAATTTAGCGGTACTGAAAGCCGGAGTGAATCTCTGTCTTATCAACCGCCAAAGATCGCCGTCAGCAAAAAACAAATTCTTAAGTAACGGTTCTATTACCTTTTTGTGTGGATTAAAGCCTCTTGCGTAGAAGCTGCTGAAATCTGTGACGAGGATTCTCTTGATGAGTTCAGGGTCCCGTACCACGAGTTCAGGTGAGGTACCTCGATAGAAACCCACCACTTTCTCCTCAGGATATTTCTTGTACGTCTCCGTGGCCATCATTGCCATACTGGCTTTTTGCATGAACTGTCTTATATTATTTCCAAAGAAGGGTAGCGGCGGATCATGATTGACACCCTTCTTCTTCCAGTAATCAAAAGTCCTAATCCCATAGTAATACAATGTTATTAAAATCACAATTAGTAGATAAAAAAACATTGTATGCTATGTCACTTCTTTTATTTAATTCACCAATAAACATAACCACTCTAATGCGCTAGAACCGTGTGACTGATGTTTTGAGATTACGCAATCACACGGAGCTGCGAAGCAAAATAATTATTTTATCAATCGATTGCGCTTCGATTTAAAACTCAAAAGGATTATAACAAAATTATGTTTTATCTGCATTCAACGCAAAATTCTTAAGTTATTTTGTAATATTATTATAAGTAAATTAATAGGTTGAGGAAACAGTTTTTTCGCATTATAGTATGTATGAATTTGTAATAAAATCTCTTTGGCTATACATACTATTTGTATCTGGCTGGTTTTGGTGTCATTAAAAGTTTAAGTTTTAAAGAAGATAATTCCAAATTCAAATTAGGAAAATGTGTGATTTTTATTTATTTTTCGTACTGTCAAGATGAGTGAATCTAATGAAGAAATTCGATACATTGTAAAAGTTTACTACAAAAAAGCTAAAAATGCAACGCAAGCATCGAAAAAAATTGCGATGTGTATGGACCTAATGCAGTGTCTGTGAGAGTAGCACAAATTTGATTTAAGCGTTTTCAATCCAGAAATTTTGATGTCAAAGATGCACGTCGCTCTGGTCGCCCTATTACGGATAAAATGGATGCCGTTTTTGAAAAAGTGGAGCAAGATCGGCATATTAGTAGTTACGACGTAGCTGAAGAACTGGGAATTGATCACAAAATAGTTTTGGCGCATTTGAAAAAAACAGGGTACACAAAAAAGCTCGATATTTGGGTACCTCACGAGCTCACTGAAAGAAACCTAATGAACCGTGTACTCATTTGTGATTCTTTATTACGACGTAATGAAACCAAACCATTTTTGAAGAAGCTGATAACTGGTGATGAAAAGCGGATTACGTACGACGAGAATGTGCGAAAAAAGTCGTGGTCAAAGGCCGGTCAGGCTTCACAGACTGTGGCGAAACCCGGGTTAACTTGCAACAAGGTGATGCTGTGTGTGTGGTGAGATTGGAAGGGCATTATTCATTATGAGCTGTTACTACCAGGCAGGACCATCGATTCTGAACTCTACTGCGAACAACTGATGAGATTAAAGCAAGAAGTTGAGAGAAAGCGGCCGGAATTAATCAACAGAAGCGGTGTCGTTTTTCATCATGATAACGCTAGACCTCACACACATTTAGCCACTCAGTAAAAATTAAGAGAGCTTGGCTGGGAGGTGTTAATGCATCCGCCGTATAGTTCTGACCTTGCACCTTCAGATTTCCACCTGTTTCGGTCTCTTCAGAATTATTTAGGCAATGTCAGGTTAACATCACGAGAGGACTGCCAAAACCAATTGTCGCGGTATTATGATCAGAAGCCCCAAAATTTCTATAGCAATGGGATCACGTCCCTACCTACAAGATGGCAAAAAAATATCGAACAAAATGGTACCTACATACTTTAGTTAAATGTAAGTAAACTATATTAAAAAATGTTGTGAATTTTCTTATAAAATGCGAAGAAACTTTTTCCCCAACCTATATTATATATATTGCTATTTAACTATGATATATTTATTACCAACTTCGAGGAAATAGGACTAGACTAACCAGGAACTTGGAAATAAGATTACTGACTTGGACCAGTGGTGTCCAATAGGAGCAAAATGGCGCGAGGACATGCGCTCCTCGCAAATCGTGTCACCTTGCTCACACCTGCCTCGGATCAGTCCTCTCCCATCCAAGGTTCGTCCGCGGATCGTTGAGCGAAAGGGGATTTCAATCGGTCCTACTCTGACATGCCGGCTTAACGCCTCCAAAGCGTAGACTTATTAAGTCTTACAACTTCCCCGTGAAATTGTGAAATTTCATTGAAAATTTCTATACCGTTTTTGGCTTTAGGCCGTTCATGACAACTGCATTATTCTGCTGCTGCTGGCTGGTCTATTATTTTCGTAAAATAAAAAGAATCACGGAAAATACGCACCAATATTTTTACTGGTGGTAGGACCTCTTGTGAGTCGGCACGGGTAGGTACCACCACCCTGCCTATTTCTACCATGAAGCAGTAATGCGTTTCGGTTTGAATTGTGGGGTAGCCGTTGTAACTATACTGAGATCTTAGAACTTATATCTTAAGGTGGGTGGCGCATTTACGTTGTAGATGTCTATGGGCTCCAGTAACCACTTAACACCAGGTGGGCTGCGAGCTCGTCCCCCATGTAAGCAATAAAAAAAAGAAAAAAAAAAACCACCTTCAGACACGACTGGTTGCCGACAAAAATAAGCAAGAAGTGATGATAATTTTTTTGATGATAATTATATATCCGCGCAAGCTTCCAATAGTCACAGGGGAAATACACAAAAATAAATTCCTTCTTCATTATCGATTATAAAAACGTGTTATGTGGATGTTTCATTAAAATAAATACATTATAAATAAAAATATATTACTACAAATATCAAATAATATTGATATGTCCGTTCGATCTGTTTCGAACAATATCTCAAATTTACCGACCTATTACTAGACATAGCTAATAGAATATTTGAAGTCGGCTAAAAATTGTTTAATCCGTATTATTTATAAACAGAAGCTACTCGTAGAAACAGCTCTTAAATTACAATTCACGATAATAATTATTATCAGGTGATTAATGTTATTTCAAGGTCAAAGTAGCAGCTATCTAAATAAACTTGAGACATTGTCGATAGTACCTTAAGTTAGACGACATATATTTTATTATTATTATTTTTTTATTGCTTAGATGGGTGGACGATCTCACAGCCCACCTGGTGTTAAGTGATTACTGGAGCCCATAGACATCTACAATGTAAATGCGCCACCCACCTTGAGATATAAGTTCTAAGGTCTCAGTATAGTTACAACGGCTACCCCACCCTTCAAACCGAAACGCATTACTGCTTCACGGCAGAAATAGGCGGGGTGGTGGTACCTACCCGTGCGGACTCACAAGAGGTCCTACCACCAGCATATTTAGTAGTTTTAGTATATAGCTTCGATTTGATATATTAATATATTGAATAATGGAAATCAATTTTGAACACATTAACTTAAGATATAAACACAAATAACAAGAACACTGAGCAGCGCCATCTAGTGTCAGCGCGATGGAACTTTTTTTTAATTTTTTTTATTGCCTTTGTAGGCAGACGAGCATACAGCCCACCTGATGGTAAGTGGTCACCGTCGCTCATGGACGTCAGCAATGCCAGGGGCAGAGCCAAGGCCGCTGCCTTCCATTGCCGCTGCCTACCATTAACTGGCACAAAATTGTTACTCCTAGGCGATCCAGTATCGAGAAAGAGCCATACATCTTTGTGCTTAATGGGAGTTTTTTAACGTTGTTGATAGCGTAAGAGTTAACTCAAATTTGTATGCACTTGGAACAGCGCCCCTAGCGGCAAACGTAGACAAACGTTTCAACTCCATACAAATTTGAGTTAACTCTTACGCTATCGAGAACGTTAAAAAACTCGCACTAAGCACACTGGGTTGAAACGACCCTGCGACCTGTATTCTCAGCATTGAGTCTAAGTAAATTTTTTACAAGAATAACGGCTTTTCTAATTCTTCAATTGAAGGGCATGGTTGCTACACTGTCATAATGCTATAAAGCATAGGACTGCAGTACTCAATATGAGCCGCTGGTAGAATAAGTCGGAAAGTAAGTGGACATATACTAACGATCTTCGGTGTCCTATATATTTTTATACTAAGTACTATTAGTTGACCCCACAAACGTTATTTTGCCCTATAAGTTATTTCTAAAAAAGATAAATAACCTATATACCGACTGCAGTGCCATCTGCCGGACCTATTTGTGAATCTAAGCCATCGAGGGCGTCACCCAAATGCATATAAAAAAAAACATTCAAATCGGTTCAGCCGTTTAGGGGGAATTCAGTGACAAACGCACGCACAGAATAAATATATAACATATTTTACATTTCCTCTATAATATTAATCGTGTTTTGCTTCATGATCGAGTAATCTCAATTCACAGTTCAAAGGTGAAAAAGGCGATCGGGGATTCGACGGAGTACCAGGAGTACAAGGTCCACCCGGACCTCCAGGAAAACCAGTGTCCGAACCAGTGCAGTATCTTCCTGGGCCGCCTGGCCCGCCCGGACCACCTGGTTCTCCCGGTACGCCTGGAGTATCTGTGGTGGGTCCTAAAGGTGAACCAGGAGTCAGCTATTACGAAGAGGGACCTGTCCACGGCAGTCCTAAATTCTACGGGAGACCAGGTAAAGATTTTAAAAACAATTATATGTATATGTTTGTAAATGTTTTTGCATTGAATTAATAAATAGGAAAGTTTCTTAAATTTGGTTACACAGTGTGGAATACATTATGTAAACAAATTTATCATTTCTATGTATGTATTTATTTATCATTTCTATGTACGGCGGACTACAAAAATGCATTAAAATCGACCTATAACTAACCACGTCATTTCGGATCCTCCCGATCCACTAACGGTGCTTTTATGTACCTTAAGTACCGGTCATCTTGTCGAACCCGTGGCTTACGACGAAGGGCTCGACGAGTAAATTAACCCATCAACACAGCCCACTGAGTTTCTCACCGGATCTTCTCAGTGGGTCGCGTTTCCGATCCGTTGGTAGGTTCTGCGAAGCGCTGCTCTTGCTAGGGCCAGTGTTAGCAACACTTCCGGTTTGAGCCCCGTGAGTTCACCTACATGTTAGGGTGAAGCCGAAATAGCCTCTCAAGGCTATCAGCATAGGTAGGGAAAAAAAATATACTACATCGCAATCTCTTAAAATCACGGGCTCAAATGTTAAAACCTTTGAATTAAAGCTGACTGAGTTTCTGCCGAATCTTCACAGCAGGTCACGATTCCGATCCGGTAGTAGATTCACGTAGGGTAGCGAACCCCTACCCTTGCCAAAGCAAGTATTGACAAATTCGCCTGGCTGAGCCCTACACGTTAAACTGACCTAATATAGCCCCTCGAGGCTTTTTTTTTTTATTGCCTTTGTAGGCAGCGAGCATACGGCCCACCTGATGGTAAGTGGTCACCGTCGCTCATGGACGTCAGCAATGCCAGGGGCAGAGCCAAGCCGCTGCCTACCATAAAGTACTCTCCGCAAGCCTCGTTTGAAGAAGGACATGTCATAGCGCTCGGAAAACACTGTGGAGGGGAGTTCATTCCAAAGCCAGATGGTACGTGGCAAAAAAGATCTTTGGAAACGCACTGTCGATGAACGCAGCGGTTCCAGATAATATGGATAGGAAGGTAGGATAGAAAGGTAGCAAAAAAAAATTAATTAATTTCTCAATTTTCTTTAACGCCGCCCGGATTAGTCCTCAAGAGTCCTTTAGATGAGCTCAAAGCGTTGAAAGAGTTGAAAGATCTCAAAGATAAAGAACGTGATAGGGGAGGTGAGTAATTCAATATTAGATACCACGTTCGATGTCTTTAGTCCGAGTTTTTTTAACGTTCTCGATAACGTAAAAGTTAACTCAAATTTCTATTGAGTTGGAACGTTTGTCTACGTTTGCTGTTAGAGCCGCTGTTCTATATGGTACTATAGTATAGCGTAGTCTGAAAGCAGCTTAACTTTTTATAGGGTTCAGCGCGCGGAGTCAACCGGCGGATGAATCCAGCGCGCAGAAGACGGTTCCAGGGGCAGCCGTGTTCCAAACAACAGAAGAAATGATGAAGGTACTAATTAGTCTCGAAGTTTCCTTTCAATCCGGGCTTTTAATGGCTTTCGGTTGCTGGTACACTGTAATTTAGACTTTATGTGAACTTAGCAGTTGTATTTAAATCGTGCTGTCTATAGACTCTGGTAGCCGCTTTCGGTTCGAGAGTATTAGAGCATATCGATGACACGCGGGCCTCTGATTCGTGTCAGTCGCGCAGGTGGAACTTGCGTGGGGTTCAAGAACAAACCAGTACCTAGTAAACATCCAGCAGTTTATTGATGGTAATCAAGCGGACAGACAGTACAATAATATTTCTTTCTGGTGGTAGGACCTCTTGTGAGTCCGCACGGGTAGGTACCACCACCCTACTTATTTCTGCCGTGAAGCAGTAATGCGTTTCGGTTTGAAGGGTGGGGCAGCCGTTGTAACTATACTTGAGACCTTACAACTTATATCTCAAGATGGGTGGCGCATTTACATTGTAGATGTCTATGGGCTCCAGTAACCACTTAACATCAGGTGGGCTGTGAGCTCGTCCACTCATCTATGCAATAAAAAAAAAAAACAATAATATTATACTTAGGAACTTAAAGTACAGTGTGCAGACCATGCAACGGCACTGAGAGGAAAGGGAAGAGCGAACCATAGACACCTGTATTTATACACAATGCAGGGCCTTCAATATCAAGCCAAGATTTAATGCATACCTATTCACTAACATCTTTAATAGAGAGCCGACCTGACGATGCAAATTAATAAAAAAACATTCAAAACGCATTCCATTTTCCGAAGTTACATTGAAGATAACAAAACAAGACTGCACGTACATAATACAAACTCGATAGGAGTTAAATAATAACAATCCCGAAACTCAATTAAATTTGTAATACGTATGAGATATTGACCGAGTCGATGGCGCAGTATTTCGCGCCTCTGATCTTTGTACTGAGGGTTTTGATTAACATCCGTCACTCTTCTGTATATACAAATTGAACGCGATTAATGATATCACAGGGCACATCTATCGACAACGTAACACTTCAGCTTAATAAATACTACGACTTGTAAAAAAAACTTCAGAGGTGTCAAGGGACACCCGGATGGAACGAAGTTCCTTTCGATTAATTAGTGAAGGAATTGTAATTTTTTTTTAAGTTATAATAATAAATTACGGCATTATGAAGAAGAAAAAAACAATACTATGAACTAAATTACTATTGTTGAAACGCTATCTCGAGAAACTGTACTCATTACGCGGACCAATCGGATACGAGCAATGTCACGCGATAAGCGCCTACACGTTGATTGGTCAGAATGACGGATCTAAAAAGTGTCGTGACAACTTTTCGTAAGAATTTTTTCCGTCTAGCCCCCTTTCACAACGCGCGATAAGGAACTTCGTTCCAATAACCGACTGATAACTCAGAACAAAACACACACGGTCATTTAGAATTCCCAATTTAGGGTTCCCTGTGCTATGGGGTGACCGATAAAAATACTTATTTTATGGTTTAAATATATACATGTTGGCGGCGTTGCGATGAGATGTTGGTTTATTTTTTTATTTTTTTATTGCTTATACGTGCGGGCGAGCTCACAGCCCACCTGGTGTTAAGTGGTTAGACATAGACATCTACAACGTAAATGCGTCACACACCTTGAGATATAGTTAGTTCTAAGGTCGCAGTATAGTCACAACGGCTGCCCCACCCTTCAAACCGAAACGCATTACTGCTTCACGGCAGAAATAGGCGGGGCGGTGGTACCTACCCGTGCCGACTCACAAGAGGTCCTACCACCAGTAAAAAAGGCTACTCCGAATAAAAGTGGATTCTATTTATAGCTGGCTTACTAAATCGGATTAAAGTTTGTACAATTTTACGAAACCGACAATGATTGTGCGGTTTTTCGTCGTTTTATTTTGCAAGTCCACGCCCCTCCCCCGCTAAGCAAAGCAAAATAGGGTTGCTATGTTTCGAGCAATACATATTGTGTAGATAATAAACACCCAGACAGAGCCCCAGAGACTCAGAGCAAACAAAACTGTTCATTACATAATGTTTGCCCGATGCGAGAATCGAACCTGCGACCCTAAGCACATCAGTTAGGTCCGCTAATTACCGCACCTACTACTATATATCAGTCAAAATATAATCTATATATTAATACGTGAAGCAAAAACTTTGTACCCCTTTTTACGAAAATTGCGCGGACGGAGGAGTATGAAATTTCCCACACTTATAGAGAATATAGAGAAGCAGTGCAGAGTGTTAATATTTTTTAAATTATCCATAAAAAATACATTAAATCAATAAAATAAAAATTACACATACTACCATGTATTTGACACACATACGCATGTGCATACTATTTCTTTTCTTATATAGTCTGTCGTCAAATTGGGAATAGATTAATTATGGTTTTTCTTTATTAATATTTGCCTAAAGTGTAAGTAAAGTCTTGGCGAAATCTGTGATTATAGAAGTACATACAATAGTCTTTTACAATAAAATCATAACAGTGTACAAACTTATAATTTCAATGAATTATAGTCGAATTTCGACTACCGGGGGGACTACCTACTACTAGTAATAACTATAACCCCATAACTTCGTAATCCACGTCATTAAAACACGCTTGTCACTTATAACTCTTTGGATCTGAGATTAAATTTTAAAAATCGGTTTCGAATATTCCCGGAAATTCAATTAACGGGACGTCAGTCAACCTCTGACGGTCTGTTGTTCCGTAGCTCGCCTCGTCCAGCCCGGTGGGCGCGCTGGCGTATGTTGCAGAAGAACAAGCTTTGTTCGTCAAAGTTAATTCCGGCTGGCAATATGTATTGGTGAGTTCATAAATTGAATTTGTTTAAAAAAAAATCGTTCGATTTTTAAAACTTAAGTTATAGATTTCAAGCATGATGCATTTAAGATGCATGTCATTAGGAGATGTATGGAAATGGTAGTGCAAGGTAGAGGGGGAAGAGGTCGACCGAAGAAGATATAGATGGAGTATGTGAATGGCGATATGAGAGAGAGAGAGAGAGGAGTGAGTGCTGAGATGACGGCTGATAGAAGAGAATAAAGAGAAAAATTAGCTGTGCCGACCCCACCTGGTGGGATAAGGTGGAGAATAAATAACAGTTTAAAAAAGCGTGGGGTGCATAGTATAAGTAGTTCAAATATTTTCTATAAAACCGTATTCTAAAGAATATTTTTTTAAACTATTATTTATTTCTAATTTTTTAGTTGAATTTCAATTTTTTAAATTTTTTTGTTGACTTGACTACGTCTTATATTTCGATGGAGCCGGCTGCGCGCACAAAAACGTGACTCATGCGGCGTTACCTCGCTCTGAGGCATTCCATTTAAGGCTTGAAGTGCAAGTGAGAGCGCACAACGAGCGACAAAGAGGCAAAATCGGCCTCCGCGTTCGGCAGCGTTCGACATCTGTCTCTCTCCTACTTGAGTGAGCGATGCATCCGCGTGGACAGCTGCTATACAATAATACATTTACATGTTTTCGTTAAGTATGAAGTCCAAGAAGTGAAGTGAAGATCCATCAGCATTTTCTTATGACGTTGTCACGTTCAACTATCGTCAGTAAACCGACTTTATAGACAACCGATTTTTTTTTTAAATATTGGATTTTCGTCGGTCCATAATAAGTATACCAAATTTCGAGTTAATTCGACGTTTTGAAGGGGGTCAAAATCATGTTCAAAGATTCCGTTACATACGTACATACGTCTGAAGATAATAAAAGCGTATTAAAAATAGCTGTGCCGACCCCACCTACTGGGATAAGGTGGAGTAAAAGAAGAAGAAAGTTATTTATCTCGATTTTTCGTTCCAAACAGCTTGGCTCTCTAGTGACTCAGTCGAAGCCTCCGCCGACGCCGGCGCCAGCCCCCCTACCGATGCCAGCGGCGAGCCTAGTTCATGTACCGCCTATCTCTAATCTAGTCGAAAATTCACCAACACCAATCGGTCCTAGTGTAAGTCCTAGTGTAAATCACCCTGATTGTTTTTATTATATAATAACACAAAGTTTTGACCATGCTTTGACAAACAAGAAAAGCTGGAATAGCCCCTAGACTACCAGCGAATAGGTAGGGAAATATCCACAAGGACTTCAACAAGGACAACAAGGACTTCAACAAAATAAAATTGGATCAATGTAGGATAATAGCAAAATCAATTTAATAACTTGCTTTATTAAAGACTAGCTGACCCGGCAGAGTTCCTAGTGCCTCAATCGTTAAATAAAAGACCTAAACTTTTTTATAAAATAAACTTAAAACAAACAAAAGGAATCCGTCTGACGGGGGACACATCAAAGGAAAAACAAAATTGTTATTTTTATTTAATTCCGAGCATTTTCATATTTATCTACCTTTTAAACCTTCTCTGGACTTCCACAAATGATTTAAGACCAAAATTAGTCAAATCTTTTTTTAGTAAAAAAAAAACTTTACAGTCTCAAAGTCACTTATTTGAGACTTGTTGTACTGTGGTTCTGATGTGTCGATAGAATGATGGCTCCGCTACCGGTAATACTATAGNTTATTTTTATTTAATTCCGAGCATTTTCATATTTATCTACCTTTTAAACCTTCTCTGGACTTCCACAAATGATTTAAGACCAAAATTAGTCAAATCTTTTTTTAGTAAAAAAAAAACTTTACAGTCTCAAAGTCACTTATTTGAGACTTGTTGTACTGTGGTTCTGATGTGTCGATAGAATGATGGCTCCGCTACCGGTAATACTATAGATGCATTTTTGAAGCAGATACCTTTGAGCTGTTAGGTTTCCTCTGGAGGCGATCGGGCAGCTGTTAGCAAATCCCACCCCTCCTGGCTGTCGATTTCTTCCTTCCTAACGATTCTTCCTAAAACCGGCAATACTAAGGGATAGCGGTTCCATCTTCACATGGCTGCGCTCAACGACCCGCTATCGGGCAATATGCACGGCGTACGCCGCGCGGACTACGCGTGCTACAAACTAACCCTTCTCTCTTGACTAAGCCCAAGTTCGCCCACCTGTCCTAAGAAAACCGGAAAGGCCTCCGGGCCATCAGTAATGACTCCTTCCTAAAAAACCGGCAATACTAAGTTATAGCGATTCCATCTGTTCAGCTTCGCATGGCCGCGCTCAACGACCCGCTATCGGGCAATATGCACGGCGTGCGCCGCGCGGACTACGCGTGCTACAGACAGGCGCGCCGCGCGGGGCTGCGGGGGACCTTCCGAGCCTTCCTCACCAGCAGGCACGTGTATACCAAAAACCTCAAATACGTTTCACTGGTGGTAGGACCTCTTTTGAGCCCGTACGGGTAGGTAACACCGCCCTGCCTATTTCTGCCGAGAAGCAGCAATGCGTTTCGGTTTGGGGTTTTCGTTGTAGATGTCTATGGGCTCCAGTAACCACTTAACACCAGGTGATCTGTGAGCTCGTCCACCCGTCTAAGCAATAAAATATATATATACAGAACCCCCTACACTAACCATTCTGGACCCAGAAACTCACTGGGCTTCCTAGTTCAGATCATCCATGAATTCTACTTCGACGGTGTGTGGCGGTCAAAATACACAGAGCTAAAGTTTTTTAGGTAGACCCAAACATTCGAGAAGCTTTTAATGGTGATGACCCACATGACAACTACAATAATAATGATAATAATCCTTTAATTTCCTACTAAATATTTTAACAGTCAGTAACAAGTATAATCACTTAACAAATTTAATGCACTTTGGTGGTTTTATGAAGAAACCCCGTATTGGGTAAAGGCCTCCTCCAAAAATCCTAATTGTCTCTGTCCTGTGCAATCTCTTTCCGGCTTGGACATGACAACGAATTCTTTATAAATACATTATAAGCGCCCTGTGTTTCAGAATTCAGAATTTAGATTCGACAGTGAGATACGCGGACCGCCACCTCCCTGTGCTGAATACGCAAGGAGACGTGCTCTTCAAGTCATTCTCGGACATATTTGACGGGAGCGGAGGGATCGTGGCAGGGACCCCAAGGATCTACAGTTTCAATGGGAAAAACATCATCACTGATTCGCATTGGTGAGTAATAATATGGTAGCGTATTTTGATGGTAGGACCTCTTGTGAGTCCGCACGGGTAGGTACCACCGCCCTGCCTATTTCTGCCGCGAAGCAGTAATGCGTTTCGGTTTGAAGGGCGGGGAAGCCGTTGCAACTATACCTTAGAACTTGTATCTTAAGGTGGGTGGCGGCATTTACGTTGTAGATGTATTATGGGCTCCAGCAACCACTTAACATCAGACAGGCTGTGAGCTCGTCCACCCAACTAAGCAATAATATATATTATATATATATATATATATATATTGATATATACATTGTGTTTTGCGTTCACGGTTATCAACCAGGCCTCAGAAGTTGATATGGCACGGATCTCACGCCAGCGGCGAGAGAGCATTGGATACCTTCTGCGAGGAATGGCAGAGTAACGATCCGACCAACAAGGGAATGGCGGCTTCACTATACTCGCACAAAATATTATCACAGGAGAGGCAAGTCTTTTGAAATAAATACAATTTGTCACACATCTTTTTTATTAAAAATTGTATTTGATAAAAAAAAGTTTAATACATTAGACAGTAGTTAGCATAATATGAACTGTAAATAATAAAAAGCCTTAAACTTTGATTTACATTAATAAATGTTATTCATACATGCTGATTAAAAAACTCAAAGGCGAATGTGTAAATTACCAAAAGAAAGAACATCGCATTTATGTAACATTTAATATTAAATTAAATGTTCTAAATTCAAAATTACAAAGTTTCTAGATCGTTCTCGAATATTATGAATTTTCACAGATATTCGTGTAACAATCATTTCGCCGTGCTGTGCATAGAGGCAACGTCAAATGTCAGCGTACGAAGAAAAAGAGACACGTATAGGTACGGCAAATAAAATATATATTTTTTTCTAAAAAATTAAATAAATGCGGATCGATTTAACCTTATTGATATTTCGCGGGCCCGGGAAAACAAATAACTTCACGGTCATTAGTTCAGTCACTCAACGTCACGTGGTACCCAAACAAACGACCCGAATACATGAGAGCGTTCATTACGAGCAAAAACTCATTTTGACTGGCTCAAAACATATATGTCCAATGCTACTACATACTAGTTACAAATCTATCTTTGTTTTCACCTGTCACCGCATTAAACATTTTAAACACTAACAATATTAAGGAGCCGGCTCTGTCAAAGTTTTCGAAGTTGCCGTCATTTGGTGTGACGTCATTTTACATTCATTTTAACATTCATGACAAGCTAACCACAGATATTCTATACTTTTTTATGGCATTTTATAACGTGGTAACTAAGACCTTTAGGTCAAGTCTTATTTTAATTTTAATGAAAACTTTTTTGTATGAAAAATGATATTAATAATAAAATGAAGTTTATTAATATGAAAAATGGCATGAAATCAAATAGAAACAAAATGAAATGAAATGGGATGAGATGATATGGGATGAAATAAAATCTCAGTAAAATGGTGGTCATTTATTGACACTTTTTCAGTTGACTTTTCCCAGGAGGATCCCAAGAAGTTACGTTCAGCGGCTTTGTTTCATTTTCCCACATTTGTGCACTCTCACAGATACTAAACAGTTAATAAACCACCGGTATTACACATTGAAACCTGAAGAAACACTAAATAGATAAAATAAAACAAAACACACACACAACTTCACTCCTCGCCTTCCCGCCAAAAAGTACATTTTGACATGCTAACTACAGATAATATTATACTATAGAATATGTATCACCATCCGTTTATAACAGTAGCTAGTTTTTTTTTTTAAATTATGATCTATGTATTTCATAAAAATATTCATTTTGTATCCAATCGCATACTGAGCCCGACGTACCAACACACGAACACGCAAAACACATAATGAACTCACAATTTTAAAATAAGTATTTTTGTCATCACTAGATTTAATACTACAGAAGATTCAGGCGAAGACTACGAGATGAGGCTGGACGAGTACGAAGAACTGATCAACGATATAATTGCTCAACCGCTTAGATACAATTAATTAGGCAGAAACAAACTGTTTTTTTTTAAATATCAAATTATTCGAAAAAAATCGATTAAAATCATTTAATATCGATTGAACTGTTTGTACTCTATAAAATATTGCATCGTATTATTGCATTTATAAATTAAATATACGTAATGCTTAAACGAATGATTCATTCGAGACTTCGAAATCTAAAATTTAGACTATGATCGTTAGTTTTTATTTTTGTTAAAAATGATAACGATTAATCAAGTTTACGTTTCACTCGAGACGATCAATAGGATATTTAACTAGCAATTACTTTTTAATACCAGATGATATCACACTCAGCCCTAGTCGGTAAATTATATATAATACGTGATATCAAAATACTATGATACATCTTAAAGGAATTGATTTAGATGCTTAAATGCCAAGAGATTTTTTTTAATAGAATTGTGAAGCTTATGAGATTCCTATTAAAATAAGCTTAGCACGTTTCTATTGTTATGAATTAAATGGAACATCGAAATTTTAAGTTGCAATATGAATAGTTGAACATTGTTCAAAATATACGTCACTTAATATGAATACAATACATAGGTATACATACAGTTACAATTACAAACATACAGTGCTCGCTAACTTGGCCGCTCTGAATTTCATGCAAACAGCTGCGTGCCTCGAAACGGATTGGTATTAATAAAAACAACAACAATCAGAAGCAAAAAAAGCTTTGTTTGAGGGCCTAAAAAAATTGCCTTCCTGAAAATAAAAATAAAAAAAAATAAAAAAAATATTCAACATAAATGAAATACATACTTGTTGAACGTCATAAGAACTACCGCCGATTCACAAAAACTAGCCTCCGTCCTGAGGAGAACTGGCAAGAAACTCAGCGGCCATGTCTTTTTTTTAAATATTACATTTTTTTTTAATATTAGAATTTTTTTTAAATGTTCATTCATTCACGGAAGTCGCAGACCGGTCGAATTTTTTCGTACGTACATTTATGTAGGTAATGTAAATTTTGAGTATAGAAAAATATTGGGCCAGACCTGACCCAAATGGATCTGAAGTTAGTTTACTATCTTGTGACGTCAAAAACTAGCGAACACGCTTTATTTTTCATCTAAAAATAGTGTGTTAGTTTAGTTTTTTATAAACAAACCTTCATACCCTTTGTAAAATTGTAAAATTTTAATTTGGAATAATTTTTGTTTTATCATACATAAAGAAACACAGTATGTCAGCTAAATAGTCTGAAACTTACAGCCATAATATAATCAATTCCAAAATGCCATTTATAAACTTAATATCAACGTTTGCTGTTCCATTTAATTCAATCGTAAATATCAGACCTTATATCCAAACAGGTCGTATTATAAATGTATTTAATGGAACCATTTAAATATAGTCAAAATTGTTCCGATACGATTAGGAATTGTGAGAGGTTTTTTGTATTATATAAATGTAATGTTAAGTCGTTTATTATTTGAATTTTAGTCATATTAAAGGTTACGTACACGAACATATTATACCGATGTATTTAACTAACGAAACATTCTGTATGTACATGTCATTATTTAAATTGAAAAAAAAAAACAATGACATAGAGCCCGCCAAAAAATTCGGTTTTTTTCTACTTTTTTATTCGCTGCTTGTGGACTTGCTTGAAGTGTAATAACATCACGTAAGCGTATTGTCATAACTTATAGAGAAAAAAAATCGAATAGTTAGGGACAAAATTTCAATGCGCTTTCTACAATTACTTAAAATTCCTAATATTTCAAACGTGACATCGTGGAGTTTTTTTTTTTGTGCCACAAATGCTACTGAATTGTTCACATCATTAGGTAATTTTTTTAAAAATCAGGTACAAACACTTTAACATTGTGATCCATTAATTTTATTCCGTTCTTAATAAACTTTTATAGCGATCTATGGAGCTGTAAATATGTAATAATACAATCTAATTTATATATAAATTTGCACTTTCACTGTAATTAGGTTTAAATAAATTTTATTTTATAAATTTATAAACCATCCAAAATATAGGTATTCAAAGTATTTAATTCTAGAATGTTTTAAAAATATATTATATTATTATAATAATATAGGTTTTCGATTTTCACGCTCTTGTTACACAAGTATAGACCTTCGTTAATTAAATAATGAATGTGTTTATATAATTAAATATGACTGTTACGGCTATGAACACTTATCATCATAACAATTTAATGTAGACTATCATTTTTATAGCTATTTAGCACGTAAAATAATTATTATATTAATAAAAAAAATCGCACTTTTTATACTCGATTAATATTTAATTTAAACAAAATGTTTTGAAGACTGTACCTTTATCGGATCATATTTAAATTTATGATTAGTGCCATCACGAAATGTGTTACGTTCATTCAATGAGTCTGATTTTATTTAATATTCCCTCGGTATTAATCACGATTTGTAACTAAGAATATTTTTGCAAACCGGCCGTTTTAAAATTATAGTGCTTCTCAACAATCATTCGAAAATAGAAAAGGCAATAATACCGTTCAGTAGTTGTGATTGAGTACTGTTAACAAAAAAAAGTGGAAATACAGTCAAAACCGTTTACTGCGACATCGTTTAATACAACATGCCGGTTATAATAACCAAGAACAAAGGTCCCGGCTGAATGCCATATGACCGCCTTATTAAAAATATTGCTTTCTACGACATTGGTAATAACGACATACCTCATAAAACGACCACATTTAACTAATATTTCGGAGAATTAGATCTGTTAGAACGACCGGCTAAGCTGTATTGTAAACATTTGTCTTCAATGGCTTTTAAAATCAGGAAAGAAAACAATAGGATTTACTTTAGTGTAGGGTCTTTTCTAATTCTTAGAAACAAAACACGTGCATGCGGTAGTCAAAGCCCGCTTCTTCATATCTCCTTAGTTAGTTTGTTACTTATCTATACACAAGACGCACCAAAACTTTGTGGAGTTATTCGTGAAACTTTCAAAATGTCGCAAAGAAAAAGAAAACAAATAGATATTGAAGAAAAATCGCGTATTATGTAAATATATTTTTCCAATAATTCCCTATCGATTTGTTTATACTTGCACGATACACATTAAGCATCACCGGTTGTTACGACTATCGGTTTTTTACGACTGAATATGAGCAGTCCCTTCGATGTCGTTATAACAGATTTTGACTGTATTTTTATTTTTTTCTTGAGTGATATAATGTTCTTTAAGTACTTACCGGATTAATAGAAAATGACAAATAAAAAAAAATGCATTAATTTTATGATCTTAATAACCATTTATTCCAGCAATAATTGATTAGAATTGTCCATTTCAAATCACAACAACCCCCGGTGACTTGTAGAACAGAAAATTAATAAAACGATACTATAATTTTGAAACCGCCTGTACTTCGATTACCTTAAGTCTAGTCTAGCTTAGACGTTTTGCTATTCGAAAATAGAACTTAACGAAGGAACCTTAACGTTTAAATTAAAATGAATCTCAAAATTATTATCGCGAATAGCGAAACGGTCATGTTACATAAGAACAAGCATTTAAACGAATCTTTAGTTTTAATAATAAATACTTCGAATAAAATATGTAATCTGATGAATAGTAAAAATGACTGTGTTTATACAAATAGTAAAAATAAAAGTTTTCACAGCGGCGTATCTGGTTGTTTTGTATTTCCCTAAATGATGACGCGCTTCCCCTCAATTTTGTAACTTATATATCGGCTCTACGTCACTATTTAGTCCGATCCATTACGTCCAAAATAGTTTCAAGCTTCCCTAAGACATGTTTTTTTTTTTATTGCTTAGATGGGTGGACGAGCTCACAGCCCACCTGGTGTTAAGTGGTTACTGGAGCCCATAGACATCTACAACGTAAATGCGCCACCCACCCTGAGATATAAGTTCTAAGGTCTCAATTATAGTTACAACGGCTGCCCCGCCCTTCAAACCGAAACGCATTACTGCTTCACGGCAGAAATAGGCAGGGTGATGGTACCTACCCGTGCGGACTCACAAGAGGTCCTACCACCAGTGATTACGCAAATTATAATTTTGCGGGTTTGATTATTATTACACGATGTTATTCCTTCACCGTGGAAATCAATCGTGAACATTTGTTGAGTACGTATTTCATTAGAAAAAATGGTACCCGCCTGCGGAATTCGAACACCGGTGCATCGCAACAACGATTGCACCGGACGTCTTATGTATATAATAGAACTCGAAATATTATAAATATTTTACGTCATTTCGATAGTTACACTACACCTACATTTCAACATCTAGATATTTAAATACTTTAAAACTGCAGTATCCTCTCGTTCAAGTCGAATTCGTACTAATAAATTAACCGGATCGTTTCTACTCAAGCCACCGCTTACGGAAGTTTTCAATCAACGATCCTCATTCGAAATTCCCTTTATTTTAAACAAGCGGCCCGCTCCGGCTCCGCTCGGGTCTTTAACAAAAATTTCAACGATATTTGACGTTGTTTTATTTTCTATACTAATATTAGAAAGAGGAAAGATTTGTTTGTTTGTTTGTTTGTTTCAAATTGGCTCCGAAACTACTGGACCGACTTGAAAAATTATTTTTCCATTAGAAGCCGACATTGTCCCTGATGAACATAGGCTACTTTTTTTAATTATTTTTTTTTTTTTTTTTGGTTTCATGTGTGTTTTAATGTTTCCGAAGCGAAGCGAGGGCGGGTCGCTAGTTTAAAAATAAAATAAGACTTATTGCGGTATAACTATAACAGTTAGACATATCCTGTCGCGACACTTTTTGTAGATGATAATGTGTTCTACAAAGTCGTAGTACATTATTTTATTCTGTCATCATTAGTTTTCGCAGGGTACGCGATATAAAGAATATTTTACGTATTTTTTTTAGGGTTACATTATTGGAGTTTTAGTAAGGATCCCTAATTTTTTTCAAAAAAGATTATACCCTATGTCACTCAGGAATAGAGTAGCTTCAAAACAGTAAAATAATTTTTCAAACCGGTTCAGTACTTTCGGAGTCTATTCAATACAAACAAATAAACAAATCTTTCCTCTTTATAATATTAGTATAGATTCCATCCATTTGTTCTTAGGTCGACCTCTTCCTCTATTATTAATTTATTTATCTGCAAATTTACAAGTAAAGCTCTTACTAAGTACCACTACTGATATGGTACATTCGATTTTCGAGCTGATCCGATCTCCGTGGAGAGCACGCGGATCTCATTAACGGTGATCGATTTCAATATTCAAACTCGGAGATAGCTGACAGTTCGGAAACAATTAGTCTGCCAATCACACTGAGCCAAGTCTTAATAATCAAACCACGATGCTACTAATTACTATGATTATTTGATTCTCGCCGAAACAGGTTTTAACTTAATGAAATTAAGATTCTATAATCAGGAAACTGTTTGGCTATGCCTTGTACATTGTTTATGTTTTGTCATGTAAAAAATATCTTTGTAAAATATCTTGTATCTATTGTAATATTCAATGCAAAATATCTTTATGAA